AGCGTGTACTGTATCATCCACCATATATGATCCAACTTTGGGTACCAATGAGTTAATAGTCTTCAATAACAATTCAGCATCCTTGTAATTTCCAGGAGGAATAGTGATCTCGTCGGTATGGACAACTTGGTCCGCGGCCTCCAGAAAATTTGCTTCATCCTTCTTTAATCTGAATTCTCGAACGATGTGCACCTCAATCTTCTGCTCCACAGGTAGAGTAAAAAAAGAGTTGAGGTACTGTAGTTCAACCAGGGCCATTTCCCATTTCCCTTTCAAGGTAATGGGATGTTTCAGTTTAGTCGTCCAATTGGACGGAGTGTTGCTGGGATCCGTAGCGACATCGCTCGGCAGCGTCACGTAGAACGGTGCTCCTTCATACATGTTGCCTTGATCCAGGAATCGTGTTCAGGTCCGTAACCTAACCAACGTACTAGCATTTTTGGTCCACGGCGTTTAATAACGCGGTCGATGGTATGTTCCTTCTGTTCCGGGTGCGATACTTTGGAAAGTTCGTGTTCATAGAACGTCCCTTCGATAGGTTGGTCTTGGTAGTCCTGCAGTCGGTATACCGGTACGGTATGCGAGATGACTTTATTAATGTAGAATACTTCCTCCTTAAATCGATACGTATAGCTTTTTTCCACTTTGGTTTTGTGCACGGCAATGCGAACTGCATCACCGATCTTGAACCGAGGTCGCCGGTTTTACTGGTGGATACAGCTTGTTGAATACCGCCAACGAATTGTTTTTGTGACGTCGATTGGTCGCAGTCCATGGGCACGATGTTTGAGTGGTTGTACGAGTACACGAAGTCTTCCAGCTTGTCAATGTACCGCGTTGACACGCGCTCGAAACAAGCGAAACATCCGTGTTTTGATGGTGCGAATGACGCGTTCGGCCATGGCGCATTTGATGTCTTCGTTTTCCGATGTAAAGAAATGAATCTTTTTTTCTTTCAGAAAGGTTTTGACGGTGGCGTTAACAACTTCGGTTCCTTTATCATACTGTAGTTTCTCCGGTTCGCCGAGTTCTTCGAAGGCCTGCGACAAAGCATTTTTGTTTCTTTGGCTGTTTTGGTTTTCATCGGTTGGATGCTTAGCTTTTGGAAAGCAATCAATCACAAAAAAGCAAGTATTTGTATCCATCATTTTCTTTGGAATATTTTGATAAATCAGCCAGATCCGCTTGGTACTGCTGGCGAAGGTTGGTCACTACGATCCGATTGCGCGCAAACCGCCGGCGATTTTCTTTGGTTACAGTATACGCATCGATCTCTTGCAGAATCTCCTGTGCTTTCCGTCTGTTGGCTCTGGTCTTGAGACTTCTTCGAAATCTTTCTACGCCTCCAAGACCGCCGGGGTCGCGTGGATTGAGGTATCGTTTCATCAGTTTCTCCATCGGTTTTGTTACAACAGGTGGACACGCAATTGATCTTAAATATTCGGCATAAACGCAACACACTAGGCAGCAAGCTCGCCATTACGTTAGAGTGATCCACTGGATTCTGGGCGAACCCGTTCCTTTTGGATAGTACGGAGCGCAGCCTTTACGCTGCCTTCGATCTGGTCCGCTTTTCTCTTCTTACCACGTACAGGTAGGTTGACCGGAAACAGAGGTCGCCGCGGTCGCTTATGCGGATATGTTGGGCTCTCAACGTCTTCCGGCTGTCTTTTCCGACCCTTCTTTAATGCTGGGGCAAACAGCGCTATGCGCGCTGCTTTGGTTGGTCGCACTTCCGCGCTTTCGTCTTGTATACGCCGCTTCCGTCCTTTTTTTGGTAGTGATGGTGGAAACAGTGCAATGCGTGCTGCCTTCGGTCTACTGCTGTCTTCCAAGTCGCTTTCCAAGTTCCGCTTTTCTCCTTTCGTAGGCAGATCCGACGGAAATAATGGTTGTCGAGGCTGCTTAGAAGGCTTCGTTGACTCATTCGTTTCTTCGAGGACTTTACGCTTGCGAGAGACTGGATGTCTTGGTAGCGACGATAGTGTCGGCGGTGGTAGCGCTCGGGAGGTAGAGACGATTGGTTGTTTTTCGGAAGCTATCGGTGGCGGTTGTGCAGCAACGTCTGCCGATAAATCCAAGGGATTTTCATCGGGTATGGCTTTTTGTTTCAGAGCGAGGAACCGCTCAAGAATACTGCTTAGCTGACTAGCTTTTTCATATTCACTTATATCGGTTCGCTGCAGAGTTTCGGCCACTAGCGCATCCAACGTTACGACGCTGTGGGCCTCGGTGGCTCCTTGTTGATCTGGAGCTGGTTCTGCATCCGGTTCTCCATTACACGCCGTGGTACTATGTAGAATTCATCCATTACCAATGAGGGACGTTAAAACTCCAGCAATGACAGGTAAGATGGCTCCGATAAATCCTCCTTGTTGAAATATTCTCCGTTTTTCTTTAGGGGATACCGCCTCAAAGCGATCAGCTTTAATGCTTTTCGGTGGCGTTTACATTTCTCCGCATGGGTTGGAGACAGATTTACAGTATTCTTTACAATGTTGACAGCGACCTCTTCCAGTGCCTTCATCTGGGTCTTGGTCAGGTAGCTCATCAAAACCTTTCGCTGTTTCGGCTTCAGCTGTTGAAGCGTTATTGAAGGGTGCCAAAGCTTTCACGCGTTCGGACATTTTGGCAGGTCGCTGGTACGGTTGCGGTCGAGATAAATGCGTATTTGCTGGTTTGGCAACACATGCGATCGAACCCTTAAATAATCGGGGCAGAGGGACGCAAGTCCAAGATGAGTGATTGGTAGGCCTCCGTTGTGACTTTGTTGTATGCATCCACCAAATGTTTCAGTCCAGTTTGACGAGCCAGTAAAATCTGATTAATGTCCCGCACGTTCTTAAATAGTATCAAGTACTGGGAGTTGAGCGTTATGTCCCGCATAGTTTTTCCCTGTTTGTACAGGTTCTGCAGGAGCATGATGACGGAGATATTCTTGTGATGTATGCCGCGGGTGAAGAGGTCGGAACAACGAACGTCTTTACACAAATCCGTGGCCAGGTCATCGATGACAACTAAGGTATGCGTACTGCTATCGATCGAGTGCACCACCGAGAAAAGGTCATCCAAACCATGCACGAACTCGACCTGATCAACGTCTTTCCGTAACTCGTCAAAACCCTTCTGCCACTGACCGTAGCAGTACAGTATACGGTCTGGTGGTCGATCAAAAACTAACGACCTATTTTTAATTAAAGCAAAAACAAACTGCGTTTTACCCGACATTGTGGGTCCACAAACGCACATTCCAAAAGGAGCGCTAAAGCGCGGATAATCATTTATTAAACCGAACATTTTCTTCGATGGCAAAATAAATCATTTTAGTATGCTAGTCTGCTTAAATAGACTGATTAGGCGAAAAAAGCTTAATTTTTTGCAAAATCACTTGACGGCACAGCGGGCATTCTCTCACTTTACCAGAACATTCGACACAACAAATGGCATGCCCACATGGTGCAAAGCATATGGATACGTTTTATTCAGACATACACTGCACTCTTTTTCCAGTTGACAGTTTTCGTCCAAGCGGGCTTCTATGGTACGGGCCTTGATGACATTTGCCTTTTCACTAGATCAATGATGCGCTCAAAGCGCCCATACCGTTGAACAGCTTTTATCAGGTACGTGTAGTGTACACCCTGCTCCATTGCGAACGCCACCAAAAAATCCATTCGATTCTTTCGCCAAACTACCCGCCCACTTCAGCTTGTCCATATCGTGAAGCCGTCGAACCTCTCGCACAAAACGCAGACCCTTCTTCTCCAGTAAATATGCGCACTGAGGTTCATACTTGGCGTGCTCGATCCACGGGTCATCGTCGCGGGTCCACTGCGCCAGTTTGCGGCCACAGCAAAACACTGGACCTGATCCCACACTCCTCATTGAAGAAAAATCCAGCGTTAGCCATATCCATTGGACGTTGGCTAACAACTTGCCCTGGCCAATTAGCGTACGTCGCAAAACGGTCGCGGTATTCCTTCATCGCTGGAAAATACAGCTCGCCATCCGCCACCATAGCCGCGTACGCGCAGTCGGGGTTGATTCGCCGGTGCTCAAACTTTGGTTGGTCACCCATCATCCAGTTGAAGTGCACAATATTACATAACACACTTGACTTCATCTCCTGCACCCGTGTAGATGAACCCTGCTTCCGCAGGGACTGCGGTGAAACATACGCCAAAGGCCATTTGTCGAAAGTTTTCAACCGATCTTCCAAGCTCATCCTGGCTTCCTGCACAAAAACGTCTATTTAAGGACAGCGATCGTACTGGTGCTTTATCACCTTTAAAATGGCTAATTTGCAGTCTATGATGTGCCTCGGGCGCAACGTTGAGAAAAAATGTGAAAAGTTCTTTTGATTATTTTGTACGTGGTGTTTTTTATCGTCTTCGCTACGTTTGTCGTTACGGACGGAATCGGAAAAATTCTGCAGACAGATTACTGGAATAAAACTTTACGAAATGATACATCGTGACTTACCGGTGTGACGGCTAAACAAAAACAGGTAAGAGGACAATCCCGAATGGGCATGTTTATATGTGCACAGTAACTTATTGCAACTTTTGAACAAACAAAGCGCTAATGACACTTTCCTGAATCGTTTTGCTCATTTATATATTAGTTTGGTGTAATCAAAATCGATTACCTCCGAAGAGGCAATCAATATCGATTACCTCAACTCGTACGTAAGGTAATCCAAAACGATTACCCGTACTAGTTGCCATAGAGTCTAAGGTAATTAGAAAGGATTACATCCCACCACAGGTAATCTGAAACGATTACCCTGTTTAGTATATAAAGGCAGCACTGGCACTGTCCTACTCGTAGTTTTCTTTTCTTGAAATCATTTACTTTTCTTAAGTCGATAAGAAAAATGTCTGCAGCTTCCGTTGCCAACAAGGAGGTAGCTTACCGCAATTTGTTTAGTAAGTTGAGTCCCCAAACTCCGCAAATGGTGTTCGACGGAAACAGGTCCCACCATCAGTTCTTCCCGGGTTTGCCAAGTTCCAAGGAATGGAAAAGCTCAGCCTCATCGATTGTAACCTTTGGTCCTTAGAGGGGATGCCACGCCTGCCTAATCTTCGTGTACTCATGTTGGGCGACAACCACCTAGAGGACCTGAGCCTCATACCCGCGTGCTTCCCCAACTTGGAGAAGTTATCCATCGTTGGGAACAAGCTCGGGCATCGCGATGAACTGGAACCGTTGACGCGTCTTCCAAAGCTGCGCGCACTCGATGTCGAAGGCAACGAGCTGTGCGAAATCCGCGGTCACGATCGCTGGATGGTGGATACCTTCCCTCGGGTCAAACGGTTCATCATCACGGCTTATGATGTCGACAGCGATGAAGAAGATAACGACGACATTTCCTGGTTTCTCAGCGGTAAGTCAATAGCTTTATCTTTGTACAAACTTATTAATTAATACCATCATTGTAGACGAAGCTATGGATGCGGATAACGAGAATGAAGAGGATACCGATACCGAAGATGATGAAGGTTTTGTCTTTGATGGACCAGGAAAATCGGTACCAGAGGTCATCACGATTGATTAGTGTTTTGAAACTGTAAGCAGAGTTTTGGCATTTGGTTTTTAATAAGTTTTTCTTTCTGCAATGACTTTTTATTTTTTCTGGGTCCTCGCGGTGGACTTTCATAATATTAGTTCCTTGCTATTATTCTTTCTTTTTATCATTTCGCTCTTGCCGGGACTTATGTCTGCGTTGGAAAGCAAAAATATCAAAATATTCGATTATTGTGCTGCGACGTGACAGCGTAGAGTAATATGATAGTTTCCTATTTTTGTAATACAAACATATAGATTACGATTGCTGGAGAATATAACAAACATTTTTCCCTGGTTCTATTTCATTTTTGTATTACGTTGCGATCGCAAAAACCACAACAAACGGTCCTTGCAGTCAACAATGTATGTTGCCCAGTGACTGTACAGTACATCTTATATAGTACACAGTACATCTTACAGTACATACAGTACATCCCGTATACAGTATATTATACCCCCGGGTCTTCATTTACCACCCGGTCCACAGCCAAAAAGTGGCTGCTATTCTCACATCTCCGCTGGTGACCTTTGACGCTTTCTTCAGCGTCATACCTCCTATAGCTAGCCAATGGCTACTGTATCTCATCAGACATACTACTGTGCTCGAAAGCGATAGCTCCTGTACAGGAACAAGACGTTCGTACACTAAGTATCTACAGAAGCATTTCCTTAAGATTTTTTGGTTTTTAGCCATGAAAAGCGAGATGGCTGGAAAATTATGTGCCAGTATCGTAATTTTATTATCATTCTTAGCGCTGAGTGATTCCACACTGAGTTGTGCTCACCGTGGAATACTGGAAGCAGTCGGAGTCGGTGACGTTGTAATTCACGTTATATCGTCCCTTGCTTGACGACGCACCGTCAACGGGTTTTGCCGCAAGCATCACACTCCTCATACCGTCCACGTTTATCTGTACAGTCTGACAACATATGCCGAGTAACGCCCACTTCACCAAGGGTACTAAGCGTCCCCACATTTTTCGCATCATCAGTTGAGTCTTAGGATAGTTTTTCACAAACTGCGCTGAAAGCGGAGCTAGTTTGACCTCTGACGAATGGAGAAGTAGTGCAGCTCCGCATACTCGCCTAAAAAAAATAAAACAACCCACAAATAAATTTCCGATACTTATTTCCTCCTATCACGCATAGCAGCTTTTTATAAGAAATGTTCGTTACGATGAATGAAATTCAAAATTCTCTGTCGTCAGCTGTTAACAGATAAGGTGAACATTTCCACCGTGGACAAAAAACATTTCTTAATTTCGTGATAATAAAATTCGCCAACCTGAAAAAGTTGTTAATATATGTGAAATAAGTCTCCTTCATCCAGAATCCCCAGATTCTCCCGGTGCAGTGTACGCTGAGCACGCACACCCACAGAACGCAACATGGAAACACAGCCTTAAGCCCGAATGTCTTAGCCGCGATCCAAGCAATATTGCCGGTCACAATCACAACCGGTAGTACCGCCAGTATCATCCAGACGACCATGCTGAGAATGACAAAAACCGGGCACATCACGCACACGATCAGTGAACGCAAGGCGAAGTGTCCCTCCAGCAGTTTCCACGGCTTGCGGTTCGAAAGGGCCCGTAAGTGTTGGCAGCCGCGCAGATGTTGTGTCCACAGCGGGAATTTCCAGTTCCGATTAACAAATAACGAACACCCTACTGACACGCACAGAATGACCGTGTTGCAGACGGTGACCATCGTGGCCACGTAACCGAAGTGACCGCGGATGTCGCTAACCGCGGAAACCGGCATCGAGTCGGCGTTGGATTTGGTGTCGTCGCCGGATGGCATCCATCCGGATACAATATCATCCCATGCGCGGCATCCGTCCATATCCTGTCAGAAGAAAGCATTCGTGGTTTTCTGATGGAATCTGCTGCTAAGAGTGCTAAAAGAAGCGGAGTACTGTATGACAGATTTCTTAGGTGAAGTTATCGATGACATCGTGGTCTACGGTTGGTCTATCGATTTCGATAATCTTGTACCGTGGATTGTTTACAGCAGGCTGTGTGATAATTAATAACTTTTACTTTCGTTATCACGTTCAATTACGGTAATTAGCATTGCACCGCTACCCGTCAACAACAACTGTATGTTATTTGGCCTTACTGGCAACAATCAATGTTCCATTAACATCAGTTACCCTATAGCTTAAGGGATTTGTACCGGTACATATGTAGCACCATGTACGTGTACATCCACGGGAACTTTCGGGGTACTAATAAACCCTGGGAATGGGAATTGGGAGTTGGTATTGGGAATTGGTGCTGGGAATGGTATTGGTAATGGGAAACATCCTAATAATTGGGAATGGTATTTCGTAATGGGAATGGGAATGGGAAAACGAAAGTTTCGCAAGAAGAACGCAGACGAAGTCGAAGCACTTTCTGGTATACATAACGCGTAAAATTACCTGGTGGCTCAACAAAATGGCGGTATGCTTTACTGTGCTAGGTCCTGACAGATGCTAAATCGATACCAGGCTGGTTTCGTTTGAAGAGCAATTGCAACCTAAAGTAACTAAGCTAAAATAAGATCGTTGCGTTTTTTTATGAAGTGTCTTGTGAAAATGGGTACACTTAGAGGATGGAATCCAAAATTCTAATGGATGCGACTATTGTGTCACGGTGTCTTGATGTATGAAGCAACCACCCTCGGTGACTGCTGGTATAGATTCAAATAAAACAAACACCCCCTATGGTTATTGTTACCACCTTTCTCGCCCCTTTTGAATTTTGCCACTCTTGGTCATTTCTTATAAGACACAAAAATCCGGATGCTAAACCACCAGAAAGATACGATAGCTGCCGGGGACCACTGGGTGCAGTCACTGTCAGTGCAAAAAGAGGGGCAATAATATGTTGATGACGCGGCGCTGCCGACGAAAACCTCGATACTAACTCTGCCGGCACCAGTGCACCACTGATTAAGGAAATGCTGAGATCAAAGGAAGCGAGAACACTGGAATTTTTTCTGCGCGCACAGCAGCAAAGGGATGGCATAATGGTGGACATTTCGCAATCGCATTCGCTGCGGAACTGAAATTCTGAAAATGTTAAATTTATTGTCAAAATGATAAGGCAGCATTCAGCGATGCGTTAAGTCACGATAAGGTTCGTCTGGCGCCTTTCCTGCCGGTGGTGGCAGTAACAGAATTGTAAAAGCGGCTAAAAGCAAATTAGAAAGGTGGTGACGGCTACCGATCGCGTCGGCCGTTTTCATTTCGGCCGTGTTCATTTTGGCTAAACTTGCTCGGCCGCAATTCTATGCCATTTTTTAATTATGACTATAATTCAAATTAAAATATTAAAAAAATTTGGCCGGCGTTTTGCTATTTGCCAAATGCGGGTTTTCTTTCGGTTACTCATGTTAACTTATTAGACAATTGCAATACAATTACAATATTACAATATTATCGTTAACAAACACGCAGTATTGTTATACTGTTGAAATTGCTCTCAGTTGAAACTAGTATGATTATATGATATCGATTTAGTATTTGGCAGGACCTAGCGCAGCAAAGCAGACCGAATTTTTTTTAACCCACCCGGTAATAGCAGTCTGCCTACGCGTAATATATACCAGAATGTGCTTCGACTTCGTCTGCGTTCTTCTTGCGAAAGTTTTCATTTTCCCATTCCCATTCCCATTAGAAATACCATTCCCATCTATTAGGGTGTTTCCCATTACCAATACCATTCCCAATACCGATTCCCAATACCAACTCCCAATTCCCATTCCCAGGGTTTATTAGTACCCGAACTTTCGCTGTCACGCACTTTCACAGACTTTTGTAGATTGCTTTTTGACAATGTGTAGGCTAATGGTTTGTATACGCAGGCGTGAAATCCGTTTTTCCGTGCTACATTATCAGGGCAACAAAATGTCAAAACGTTTAAATGTATTCCGGTGTACCACAAATCGCATTATGGACCGATCTCCTTCAGATTTTGCCCGTAAATGCATATTTCCATGAAGCGATCTCTTACACCGATCCAGACATCCACAGTTTTTTTCAAAATTTTAAAAATTAATGAAATTTAATTTAATTTTTGAAATTCTTTTTAAAATCTAAAAGACATGCCATAGCACTGGATGATTTGGATCGGTGTAATCTCCATGGTTGTGTCGTTTTACATGCGAAATTAGAAGGAGATCGGTCCATAATGCGGTCCATAATGCGGGTTTAGGTACACCATATTGCATTTTAACTGTTTGGGATTCTGGTTCCCATAACTTTCCAACCGGATGCTGCGCGCGCAAATAGATTTCACGCCTAAGGTAACAAATCCTTTGGCTACAAAATTATATAAAGCAATGCAGAAAAGTGCCTGTGAGTGCGCAACACGGTAAGTGGCCGTGGATGTACACGAATTTAATTGACGCTATATACCGGGTCAAATCTCTCAGAGTCTCAAGTATTTTTTACGAATAACTTTGCAAACAAACTCACATATCCAAGCCATCCCAGATACCGATCCATAGTGGTCCATGCATCGGGATCCACGCGCGTGTTCTTCCATTCCGGAAAGAAACGCGCTGCAAATTTCAGCGCGGTATGCAGTCCAATCCACAGCACCACCAGGGCTTCCGTCAAGATCTCTTGATAAGCCCATACCTGATTACGGTCCAACAGGCATCCAATCGTTCTTCGATATTTTCCCATTGCAAATTAAGACTTCAACAGCTGCGGCAGTCCGGATAAAGCCTAATAGCTCGTGCACTGACAAATGTCCAACAAGAGGACCGGTGAAATGGGAAACTAACGCGCTTTACCGGCAAATGAGCAACAACTATCGCCTGGCTGTCATATCGACCGAGTGATATATGCTCTACACCTTGAAGTGTTCATGAGCCTGGATGGATGCGTCCTGTGAAATACGGGACAGTGCGCATTCAGCGCCGTCTCCTGTGACGCACGTAGCAGAAAATGGTACCATATGCAATAATACGCTGCAACAATACGCCCACGCGAACGTAATTATTTACAGAACTTGCTGCTCGATCCGTAAAATCAAGGTTAAGAGTGGTTACGGCTGCTACTATGCCCCACGCCATGATGGTAAGCTGACGCATTTACCGCGATTTTCTGGTTACAGTTTAATCAACTGGAATTCTATAGCATATTAGTGTCCGTTACAGCCTTTTCCACTGATTAATTTTACTCCGCTGGGGCCAGCCGAAGATGCTGCGTGATCCGTTGTTTTTGGTTGTTAAAGGTCACGATGGCATTCACAGTCGCTTCTATCAAGGATTGCATGCAACATGTCCTGAGAATGAACCTTGCCGGACCATTGCATCTGCTGGGTTATTTCGCTTCTGGGAATCATCTCTATCTTTCTAGTAGAGTGATCAAAAATTGAATACGGACCTTGTAAGGTAACCGATGAGCCGTGGATAATCGACTTATAAAAACGGTGCAGTATAGGGAAATAGGAAAACCCGTTGGTTACTTAAACGTTTTGATGGTAACAGCAATCAGAATTGAATGTGGACAACTAAAGAGAATTTCTCAGTACAGAATGCTACGTTTTACATTACGTAACGTGGTTTTGGTGCCGGCCGGACGGACGTGCTTTGTGTACATTTCCTTTACGCCAATGCTGCATTATCTAACTGCTTTATCGCTAAAAATTATGACATAGGATGGTACTGGTTTCTGACTCACAATAAAAGTAACTATTTTCTTCGCAGTTCACATACCATCAGTTTTATGTTGTCGAAGCATTCACTTATTTTCAACCAACCGCCGAACCACCAATAAAATCGTTGGTGAATTATTTCCACAGCTGTAAATACGAGTACAATTACGAAAGTTATTACTGCTCAGCGAACACTGCATATTATATTGTTCAACTTCGCCACCCACTTCGTGCTCTCTTACAATCCAGTTACAGTAAATGCTCGAAAGTACAGTAACTCAGTAATCTGCACTTCCAGCGCAATGCAGGCAGGTACAATTGTACATGTACGCGGTACTATTACTATTGTACATGTACGCAGTATTGTACATTCATAATGGACGCAGAGACAGATAATAAGATCATAATGGTGAATGGTAAAATTATGCTGAAGTTGCTCCAATTAACGGGCATTCTACCGTACATTGGCAATCAGCATAAGATTTCATTAGAAACATTTTATTGTACTGTGACGCAGTAATAAAATATTTCTCCAAATTAATACAGCAGAGCCAAGAATTCACGCGTACTTACTTGAATTCACGCGTAACAGTTGATTGCTTCTGAAGCAGTAAAGTTGTGAGCACCAAGATGTGGTTTTGATTACAGAAAAATTTACATAGTAATATTTGTACAGATTTTACAAGGCATTCTGAGTTCGTTTGCCTTATAAGTAATGCAGTAGTTCATAAAGATTATGACAGCTGATAATTTAAAAATGTAAGTGAAGACGTAGCAGTAATCCACAGCACCCGAACTGCCAATCCGGTTGTAATCGGTATCTGCCGGTCAGGTTGAAGGCATGCCAAAAGCGGCGGAATAAAGACAATTATAATTCTAATTAACTTAAAGTACTTAGGTTAAAAGTCATCCAAAATTCAAGCCGATTATCCCGTTCTACTGTGTACCGTGAAAGTAGGAAGCTTTCGGTAAAGGTCAGTGAACGGCAAAATCTACATACGCAGATCAATGTGCTTCGAAGTTTTGCATATATACAGTATCAAGCAACATTATAAGCGTATGTTGAAACATTAATCTACGAAGAATTTTGTGCTTGAAAATTATTAAAAAGCGCAGAAATGCGCTTGGGGTATTATAAGGTAGTATTTACGCACAGGTCCGACGCGAATTTTCAAAACGCTACTAATCTTACATATTTCATCGCGTATTTATTCGGAATACACCATAAGGTTCGCCGTAAAATTCTGAACAAAATGATTGAGACCGATTTCGAGCTACAGATCATGCGCAATTTGCGCGCGATGTGCAGCTCCATATTGCATGATGTTGCACCCAAACAGTCTCGCTTATTATTGACATAATTTATGATGAACCAAATCAAAATCGTACTGACCTGACCTACAGTACTGACCGGTATGACGTCACACACCGTTAAGTGGTCTTGCAGATTACTGCCTACGTCACGATTCTGCGCGCCGAGTGCAAAATTCCAAAAAACACTGACTCACTACGGACTTATAACATAGGGAATCTCCCCGTTATCCTGATTGGTCGGATTTTAATATGGTAAATCGGCCGTCGTTACGTCACAATTAATTTTTAATTTGAATTAATTATTTTTGCCGTGGGAAAATCGGCAAAAATTCCGGAAAAATTATGAAAATTTATTTTTCGCCGACCAAAAATTAATTTAGCCGGGGGAAATTAACTCCTGTAATTTTCCGTAAATTTAGAAAGGTTGTTAACCGAGGCTCAGAGGGTCTACACCGAGGCTCGAGGGTCCGGCCTAGTAAGGCTGGCTAACCCTATTTTTACCCTAAAAAGATGTTTTTAAGCCCGTTTTCTCGGGTAAAATAGTTTAGCCAAAACTACTTTGGTCCGGTGAAAAGGAAAGTTGCCCAGCTATATCGGGTTTTTAGAGGCTCTACGAGGCTTACCGAGGGTCAGTCGACCCTATTTACCGGGTAAATCCGCGTGAGTCCGCTTGTTGATCCGGTGAATCCCGCGCTAGTATAGTTGCGGCCTTGCGGGTGCCACTTAAGGCAAAGGCGACCCCGATTTATGAGGCTACGAGGGTCCGCTGGGTCCGTGCCGTACGTTCTGTCCGGGGATCCGCGGGAACCGCTAATCAACCCGGGCAAAGTCCGTCCAAGGGTTGTCCGCGCGAGGAACGTTCCGTCCGCGCGCAAAAAGAGGGTCTGCCGAGGCTTTCTGCCCGCAAGAGAGAGAGAAGAGACCAGACCGTTCTGGCTGGCGGCGATCAGATGGGGATAGGAACCGTTGGTTCTCCCCTGTCTTCACGTCGGCCGTTACGGAAGTAAGTCTACACCGTGGTCTCAAAGGGGTCCGTTGAAGGAAAACTCAACGATATGCTATCATGTGACAGCTGGCGAACAAAGGCTCACAATAGTGAGAGAAGGCTTTATTGTGAATAGCAATAAAGTACAGGAAACCCAAACACAAAGGCTCGATGTGAGCTGGAACATGAAAATCACCGAATGTCAGCTAGTGAATGAAAATGAACGGCACATCGAGCCGTAACATGGGAAAATGCCTAATGCGGCACTGGGCAGATCCAACACGAGCGAACGAACGCTGATAGGCCGAGATGTGGAAAGGAGGCGTGGCTCCGCCTACATCGAGGCCGATGATTGGCCGAGACGTAAGGCTGGGCGGAAAGCTGCCTGAGTCGAGGCCGATCTAGCGCTCGACAGCAAGTGCGACTCGGTGTGAGTCAGCACACCGGAAGCGGGACTGTCGCTGGCTGCCTACTCGTAGGCTGCCATAGCGACTGGCCCAACATTCGTTTGTTGCAAAAGTTATAATAGTGGCTGGTTTGCTCTACTACAATGTACCTTTATTAAGGATCATTGGATCAACAATTAACAAACGGAAAAGTGATCATCAATACCAAACTAGTCGTGCATTCCCGAATCCTGAGAAATTTATGGTCTTCTGCTTGAACAAGACACAAAGTGCATGGCTGAAAACAACCGGCAAAATTCTCTAGAATGTTCCCAGGACGGACAATTGTAAAAGCAAAGACTACCACAGCACACCACACAACGCGCTTAAATTGATCCAAGTCACTTCACGTTCGTTTGGGGTTTTGGTACACTCGTAAAAGTACGTTCCGACTGGTATGTGCCCTTCGTAACGTGCGTATACGCCGCTCGCTTGTTGCTGATTTATTAGGACTTCCATAGGGTTATTAGGGTAAATGGATGCAATAAAATCCAGGACAGCAATCGGCAGCTTTTTTAAATGCTGGTTCTTGTATGTTGCCGACGCCATGCCACTTGTGGACGGGATGGCGTCAAAGTCAAATTGCTCCCATGTTGCGCGATTATACTGTAAAATCAAAAATATGTCCCATCAATTAAACAGAATTGGAAATACTGTAGCTGCTGGCTCAAAAGGAGCTGGGCTCCTGAAGAGTCGTGCAGTGTACCATTACCGCACCGTTTGAGACATACTGATAGGCTTCCGCCATATTTAACTCTGGAGACGACATTGCAGTATTCAACTTAACTTTATTTTCAGTATGGCACATCTTACTTCACAAACGAGTAATTGCACTCTCCCTCCGGCACAAGTTCTGGTGTTCCCTGGATTTGCTGCGCCTACTGTCTTAGTTGGCTAGAATCCGGGCCGTAGGAAGGGTATAGGCGCACTGGCCCTAGCCTACCCCTCCTAGGGCCAACTTTTGAATTAAATATGTGCCCAAAACCGGCGCACGCTCGCACGGGCGCAAAATTTCTGAATTTTGCAGCGTGGCAGTAGCTTACGCTTACGCTTTCTTATTTTTTCTTTGATTTTACAAGTTCATTATTGTTTTGGGTTTCTTAATTTAGTCATAACAGGTGCAGACTTTTAGGCGCCAGAATCTGTCGACTGAAGTCACACCTTAACCGGCTAGGGCCTCGGTTGATGCTGTTATCAGTGAGGTTGCCCTTAGGCTGAAACTTAAAAACAGAAAAACTTTTTTAAAAAATCGTGTTTAAAAAAAATCCAAATATCAAATTATAAGATACGTGATTTCGGTGAAAATTAGGAAAAACAAGTGCAAAGCCGAAATGCAGCGTGTCCGAGGTGAACGGCGGCCGAAGTAAAGGGCGACCGAAAATTTGGCCGAAATGAGCAAAGCCAAAATAGAAACAGCCGAAGCGATCGGGAGCCATGACAGGTCATCACAAGGTAGTGACAACCGCAGTACAGCAGGACTTTGTTTGGGTGGGTCTATGATTCATAGCGCATCTCGCTATGGTACGGCTGCTCAATCGCACGAGTGGGCTGGCACCGCGACATTTCGCCGCGGACAACTGGTCGCAGGACTTTCGGTCGCAGACATTTCGCCGCAAGGCCATTTCGCCTCGCGACGTTTCGTCGCAGGACATTCCGTCGGTAGGACTTTACGCCCCGGGACTTTCCGTCGCATGGACGTTTCGACGCAAGGAGATTCGCCGCAAGGATATCTCGACGACGCGACATTTCGACTAACCGCTAAATAATTTACTAAGCTAACTCCAAGAGTCAGTATAGGGAACAATAAAAAAACAAAATCAAGCAAACAACCTAAGAAACCCAAGAAACCTAAAAACCTAAGACACCTAAGAAACTTTAGAAAGCTAAGAAGCCTAGAAATCTAAGAAAACCAAGAAACCTAAGAAACCTAATAAATCTTAGAACATCTAAAAAAGCACAAGAAGACCTAAGAAAGACTAAGAAAGCCAAAGAAAAACTTAGAACAAGCTTAAAAAACTGAAAAAGTAGTAAGAATTAAACGCGGTGAATTACTTTGCGGCGATAAGTCGCATCGTTCGAATTGTCCCAGGACGAATTTTCCGCAACCAGATGTCTTGCGCCGAAATTTCGCAAAGGTAAAACGTCTCAAAGCATAATGTCCCAAACCGAAGTGTCCCAGCGTCCGAAGGTCCGGCGGCGAAATGTCTTCGCGGCGAAAAGTCGCGCGTCGAGTTTGAGTGCGGCGAAATGTCACACTCCCAATTGTCCGGGTGCGGAGTGGGCACGATGCAGTGGCCACGCCTACCTGTACCGTACGCAAAGCCTCCTCGTGAGGTGGGGTTGCTAAATCATAACTAGATTCGCTCAGAATCTGATACCCACTCTAACTGGGTTGCCTTTGATGTGCAGCTGGCCTTTAATACAATGTAGCACAAACTTTTCGACGCAAAGACGTTTTCATACCGTGATTTTTGTTTTTTCGCTATTGCTGTACAAGTCCTGCATGATGCCATAATACGCGCGGATCCATTTTGGTGGCTTATTGGTCGCAGGAATGTCTTGTTCCAGAGATTGGCTGTTTAATTTACGCCGTATATTATTTTCAGTGAAGGTGAGGATATAAGAAGGAAATGCCTCGTAAAATTTTAGCCACCTAAAAGAACAACCTTTGTAGGAATCAAAATCACAAGCGACTGAATGCGGAGTCGCATTACTTGGTTTGCTGATTGGTTTGCTGATCCGGTTCATGTTTATCAACCCACTGCATCACTGCTTGGATCAGCTGCTGGCGCGCTTTAACGTACCAAGGCCTCTCCAAGATAACTAAACAGCAGTCCTTTGGTATATCTTCCATTTTTGTTGTTTTGCTCACCGGAAATTCAGCTCCAAGAACAGTGTATCCTGCTTTCGTAGCACTTTTACAAAAGTCATCAAACGAGTCGGTGTTAACTATAGGCAGCTGGATCCCTGTCCGTGATTGCGCGTCATCATTTTGAACAGTAGCGTCTACAGCTGCATCTATGTCGTGTGTATATATGTATGAATGTCCAGGTTGAATGCTGGTGCTCGTTGTCGGCTGGTCACAGGTTGCCGGAATACGGTCTTTAGAACATGGTAAAATATTTAGTGCACTGTCCGTTGCACTGTAAAGCTCTGAAGGGATTTCCGTGTTGGGTTTAAAAAACCCACGTACTCTACCATCTTTGCTGAATGCGCAATCCATTTGGCTTATTACGGCTTGATTTCCAGTATACTGGCAGCCTGAGATATCCTTACTCCAGTTCTCTTCGAACGTGTTCTGATAGCCTCCAGTTAATAGCAGACGAACAATGTCAAATACTTCCGTGTCTTCATAACATCTTATCATCATCGCGTTGATAAAATTAGGAGTGGTGTATTTCGCAGTCACTTTCGGGTTTCCTATTATATCATTGCTCCACGATATCCGACCTGCAGCTTCGTGATCTACATAAAATTCGCAATATCATCACTAACGTGAAATTATGTAAGTCAGTAGCTAATAAAAATTCAGCGAATCCAACATTTTAGACGTTAATGTAGCAGATTTGTAACTTTCCAAATCAAAACACACCATATCAACTACTGTGATACTTCCATAACTAAAATTCAAGAAATTCAAGTCCTTTCTTAAAAGTCGCGCTAGTTATTCCTTTACTCATGCAAGTGAGGATTTCTTTGGGTGAAGTAACGGATTGTCGAAAAGCTTTCAGGATTGTTAATATAATATCCTCTCTCGTGTTCTTTTCAAACTTTTCGGGATTCTCGTGTTCCAGCGCCTTTGCAGTACGGTGCATGAATTCAGTTAATGAATTGTTACAGTCTTCTCGAAACATTTTGAGAGCTCTTTCGACTTTGTTGGCAGTTTCTGTTTGTAAGCCGTTTCCGAATCCTTCAATCAACCGTACAAGTTCTTTTATGATAATGGCAGCCGGATCTGGCGAAAGGTCGCACGTTAAATGGAACGTTCGAAGAATTAGCTTAATATCAGTTTTATGATTTCCCAGTAACTGCTCGTTGTTTTTAAGGAGCTCTCCACAGAAGTTCAACAGAATATTGTCGGCTTCTTGTTGATACTTTTCAATTACATCATCAGTTTTGCCATCTCCCGCTGAGTCAGACGTACGAGGTTCTAAAAGTTTCCTTGCAGCATTGAAAAAATAATCGCGAATTTCAGAAACTGGTAGGAAATCGTTAAGCTTGACTCCTTTGTCAAAATTCCGGCTTTGCAGTGTCGAAGTTTCCGTCTTCAAAGCGGGAAATCGCAACGTGATTGTTTTAAGAAACCCAGTGTTCGCTTCGGAAAACCTTTTCAGGATTTTTGTAACATCTTCCGGTTTTGGAAAATCATTGACCGGATTTCCTTTGCCCTTAACAGTTTCAAAAATCCTGGTCAAATCTTCTTTTGCTTTTATGACTGAATCTTCCGCTTCGAATACGCGGCCGTCTGTCTGGTACAGTATTTTGAAGAACCTTATAACGCGCTCGTGATTTCCGTCCAACTTGCTGATTATGTCACCTACTTCTTTGACAGCCTTTTTAGCATATTCGCCATCCCGTCGGCGAAATTCCAGCAGATTGTGCTTTAACGAAGGTTCAATTGGCTCACGGTAGCTTATATGTGACGTGGAGCTGCGGTTCCTCCCAGAGTTGATTTCGTTTATAGCGATTTTAAGTTCGTTTGTCAAGCTGATTGTCGTTTCCCAGTGCTTTTTAACAAACTCGGTCACAGCAGAGGTTGCTCGAACAGCGTTGCGGTGCCGGCAGAAATGTTGTGATAATGTCGAAAAAACAGCATCGCCGGCTGAATGGGAGCTGTCCAAATGTTCGCTTGGCGGCTCGTTTGCGTCGATGACGATGCAGGATCTGGCCAATGCCACCTTAACAGCAGCGAGGTGGCTGTCATCAAACGGAGTACCCTGTAATAGAAAAGCACTGCCTCAGCTATCTGAAAGAAATTGCTTTGGCCGAAGTTATGAGAAACATCTCACGTAAGATCTCCCGCAAACGAGATCGTTAGACGGCAGAACCCACTCTGGCTGGCGGAGTGCCATACCAGTATATTATTCTCAGAATAGCTAAAAGTTAGCGATTCAAAAATGCGTTTAACCCTGTAGAACCGGCGTGGGTCATGGTGATCCACGCACTGGTAAAACCATTAGATATCGTTTCTTGTTGGCAACGCATTGGGATATTCATAAGGGCTGTTCTTCTGTATCATTTCTGGCAACATTTAGACCGTTTAATTTTTTGAAAAAAAATTTGGTTCAGTATGATTACGCTGGGTCGTGGCGACCCAGATTTAACGTTCATCCGGTTGCAAAATGTTTGAACATATCTTTACCATTCAGTCAAAGAACATGAAATAATTCCCACTCAAGCAGAAAGATGTATACTATCACTCAAAATTTTTACGGCTGTAATACATTGCTGTTCTAGGGAAGAAAAAAATCAGATCCGCAACCGATCAACAATGTGGTTACGTAAGCAAATCTGTCTGACAAAATCGCCAATTGATGTGCCTGGGTCAATTGACCCATGTTCGGGTAGAATCGTCTCTGAGATACGTTCGGTTCTATAGGGTTAACAGTGCAGCAGACAGAGAGTACAAGCTGGTTACACATGTAAAGCTAAGTGACACTTGGCTACCGATCACTTGGGCCATTTGCATTTTTTTGCCTTTGCTCATTCCACACAGACTTAATCGGGCTAGTCTGTCTGCCGAAGTGAACGTATACCGGGTAAAAATGTAACGCGGCCGTAGGCGAGGTATAATTAAATCGAATCTGGTCACCACTCTACCGATACCCACGCAGCATTTTTTTGTTTTTTTTTCTGTGCCTGGCCCGGCAGTTGCCGTTGCCCATTTTGCTGTACACATAATCGGCAGGAATATCCAAAGGAATTAACCTTCTGCCCGTTTAAAGTGGTATCTGCCATGAATTCTGCTGTCCGGTGCATCAAGCGATTCCGGTAAACAGCCTAACTATATTGGGGACCAATATTTTGCCCACAACTCTGTATCTGCACTGACCGACAAAATGTTTACCGGCGTCTTGCTTAAACGACAAATTGTTGAACGACATCATATTTCCGACGAACACTTCTAAACACTGCCCACCTTCTTTTTTTGTTATCTCTGATTAATGAATCCAGTAGACGCTGTTAAGCTCTCCAGCCGTAAAGGCTAACGAGTCGGTGCCAGAAGAACGTTGGTCAGCGAATGCGCCAAAACGCTAAATGGCGGTAATTGATATACCGTTGAGCGAGTAGTGAATTGCAGCAATGAATCGGTCAGCGAATTCTGGAAAACAAAACGATGGCCATAGAATCAGTGGGTTTCCTTTTAATTATCTAACACCTTTGCTTAAATGGCCTTTGGCAGGCCGTGCCACTTCGACAAAGACTACTGACTGCAGCAAGAGCGCATTCTGACAAAAGGTCAAGATGCGAATGAGCCGAGTGATCATCAAAACAAAACTGCAGGGTGTTCGATCGTAACCAAATCAAAATCGCAACCAAAATCATAGCCAGAAATTTTTGTCTAAAAACTTTACAGCCCGCAGTCCGCAGAGATCACCCAATGTTGGGCAGAAAAAAATGACGACGGGTTTTTGTACAGACGTAACGTCATTTCTTATAGGACTAAATTTTCTTTAAGCGTTATCAGCCAGTGCACATAAGAACTCAAGTGTGCAGATTCATATCAATTAAAAGCTTTAGATTTAAAAAATTTTAAATGATCAAAAATTTCAATCCAAAATCGTGACAGTTACTAGCGATCTTAAGTCGTGCGTTAAGTGTGCCCGAAACAGTCAGCAGAAAGATCGAAGAAGTCACCAGGGATCCGTGTTCTACGGCCTTTTCAAGGCAACGTTTAGGTCTAGCGGTAGTCCGTGGGAATTCAACGGCTGCCTTGGGTAGACTTAGCCTATTGCTCAAGATCGCTAAGATTGAATTTGAAACTTTATCCAATATAATCTCATAAAAATGATTTTAATTGGGATTTCTTTTTTAAAGGCACACCCAAGCGCCAAACTTTTCTTAATTTACCGTAAACCGCCCCCCTCCCCCGAAATTATCGCCCGGGCGCCTAATAAGTTGCGACGTCGCGTTTTTTAGTCTGTTGTCGGGACTGTCTTAATTGTGCATAGGGCTAATTTAGTTATATTTCCCTTGTTCACAAGTCATGATTTTGAATTTCCTAACAAAAATCTTGGCTACTAAATTATTCCAGTAATCTTCATGCACATTACTCTTGTTAAAGGTAAAATAACGTGAGCGAGTTATTCATTTAAATATGCACACGGTTCCCCGCTCCGGTTAAACGCGCGCTACCTTATAAGTACATTAGACGCTCATCCGCAATAAACGCCCCTAAGGGTTTTAAGCGCCACTCCCGAAGCTCTCGAAAAAATAAAAGCCCAGGGCGTTGATAGCGGATTTTACGGAATACGGTATGTGAAACAAAATTGTTTGCCGAACAGACTTCAACAGAGATAGTGTTTTAATCTATTTTCCGTATACATGTTCACTGTTCAGGAATGCTCGGGTCCCCAGCTCATCTGCGCCACACACTACGGAGAATGTTTCCGCCAAGTTGAGCCAACACAGAAAATAATTCCTCCCAAATTTCACAAATTTCTAAACACCTGAAATCTGTTGTTGGTAGTAGCAAGCGAAGATTCAGAGTCTGTTTAGGTAAACCCCGCGAGAAAAGCACAATACCAGCGATAACAACACTGAGGAAGAAAAGACGGGAAAAGGCCTAATACTCGTAAGTTCACGAGAGATGCCTCTAGCGAAAGTTGTGCACCGTGATACCACCGCAATACATTAATTTTTGCCCATCTCTTCTTTAAATCCGCTGTTAATCTCTTTACGTGCGGTGTGCTGCAACCACTTCTTATAAAACGCACCTTGAAGCTGCAGTTGTTTCCAGGGAGCAAAAGCTCGGAAGACGTTAATTAGAACTGTCCCGTGGCACGCAGCATAAGAAAACAGTGTCAGTAGCTCTAATCTGAAAAGAATGAATATGCGCTACATAGTGAGGGACTGAACTATCTAACACACCTCACAACCGAGATTTCTGAAACACATGGTTATGGTTTCAAAGGGTAAATTCGATAACTGCTTCCAGTTTAATCTGAATCCCCTGCAAATTTTGCTTGCGCGCGCTTGAAACATTGGATTATGTGATCAGTTGCTTCATCTCATTCTAAAGCCAAATGTTTTGCATGAATCTGCTAAAACCGTAAGTAGTAATACTAGGTATGAAAAAAATTATGACCCCGAAATATGCCATTTCATTCAATCTCAAAAGAGGTTTTCTTGCATGACATGTCGCGTCAGTCGGTAGAGTCGACCAAGTGCTAATGGGAGAGGCCAGCTGCTGTGTCTATGCAGTAAGCGGTACGCTTCATGAAGGTTTCGTGAAACCTGTAGTTTGTGTCGATAATGATTGCAAGACTATTAGTCTTGCAATCATTATCGACACTAACGTAAACAAGTACCGTATTTTTCGAAATTAACGCCTCCTCCAAAATTGAAACCTCCTCTATCATATAAGCCTCCCCCCACTTTAGTTCGAAAATTTAGTAGCCTCCTCCGCATTAGAAGCCTCCCTCCATATACGGTGTATAGCAATAACGCTAGTTTAAATGCTTCGAAAATTTAAAAGCCTCCTCCGCAATATAAGCCTCCTCTGTCGTATAAGCCTCACCCCGGGCACCTTCGAAAATTTAGAAGCCCAGGGCTTATAATTCGAAAAATACGGTAAGCTGTGTTTTCAGAATCCAGAATTCGTGTTGAAAATCAGAATATATTGAATAAATATTCTCCTAACGCGCAGTCGCGTCACGTTTTTCCGTTCGCGGCTGTCGCATAAGGTTATACTGATTGCCAGAGCTAGAATACCGCCTCGTGTTCTGCAAAATCCAAGTTGATTTATGGATGCAGTGTGCTGGAAAATTGCGCAGTCCGCATGCTGTGGTACAATATTTTTTAAAACGCTCTAGTTAAAACGTTTGGCGGGGCAGCGAAAACCAGAAGTTATACTGTAGCGGCTCGATCAAGTGGCATCAAAGAGTTTGTGTACGGGAAATCAGCATTTGCAAAGTGTGCACTGCTCGTTTTTGCGAACGCCTGAGCAGCACACGCTGCGTGTATGCTGTTTTCCCGTACACCAACTTTGTGGTGCCCCTTTATCGAGCCGCTACAGTAACTGCCGCCTTTAAATTGTGGGCCAAACCAGAAATTGTCATCCGACTTAGCACAGAACATGCGAACCTCTGTAGTACCTTACCTTTACGAAAAGCACGTCAGGAAACTTCTTCATTGAGGGTGCTTCTAAGTTCAAAAAGTTTTCGTCGGCCAAAACTATAATTGTTGTAATTGCGATGGGAGCAGCTCGTAGAGGTTTGATAAAGCTGATTAACCCAATAGGAGAAGGGGTTCCATCCGATACGACGCATATTACGATATGGTCGCCACAAATGCTTTTTAGATTTTCGTTATTTGTGTCCGGGTCCTATTGCAGAGAAATTTATTCGTCAAAAATACCGATAATTACTGAAAAGTTAATGGCAAAGCAAAATCCATTTGAATTTTCACTAACTAGATACGTTATGTCCGAATCCGTTGATCTTAGCTGATATTGTCCCGTAATATCGCATATTTCCTCTTTTCCAACCTTCCTGAATCACACAAGAGACAATTGTAAAAATCGGAATAATGTCTGCACAGCGTGACTTACGACAGTTCAACTCCAATCGTCCTTTTGTTGATAGCTTGTCGTTCTATCGGACAGAATGGCGTAATCGATACTCTTTTACAGTTGGAGTTGGCGGGCCAGTGGATGAATTGCTTTACACAGTTATCCGTAACACAAAACACCTGGGTTCCAGTTTGGAGAATCAGATTTTCTCGTGGACACAAATGATATTGCCCTTCTTGTAGTAATGCGAACGGAGTACCAATCTTTAGTTCGGTAAAAATTTCCTGAAATATAGACGTAGTTTATTGACACCGAGGCAGTATGAATTACAATACCAGCACGCTCTTTAGGATACCTGTATATCTTGGTAGATGACATCGTTTTTGGAAGCGGCGCTAGTTCGCTGACTCCCTGAAGTATCAGTGCTTGTCAAATTGCTGCTTTCTCTTGAAGGAGCATTGGTGTCAGCTTTGGAAGTGTCGCTAGGTGGTAGAAGCAGTTGCGTCTCAGAACTTTCATTGTTCGCTGAATTGCTCAAGCTACAATCACCACTCTTGTTCCCAGACGGGGCCTGGAGCCCTGATCCACCTGCCATAGCGCCATCGCTTGCAGCGACTGCAGTTGACCTGTGCACAAGTGCCTCATTGATTGCTGGGTTTTCGGCTGGAGTGGATGAAAGAGGTTGCATTTCTATCGCGTTATGACTACTGGAAGCAGAATGATCAATGATCACAACCACATGTTCATTCTTTTTGGTTGCGGTTGTCAAACTGCTGGTTTGTTTTGAAATGGCTGGTTTGGTCGGTTCGACGAGCTTTATGAAATAAGATCGAATTGTTTGGTATCCTGATGGGTTGAACCAGTCGTGCACAACGTTAGTTAATGCGGGAGCAAAATTCCGTTGTGCCAATAGAGCAAACTGTATTTCGGGAATGCAGATTGCTCTGTCTGGTGCAGTGACATTGGTACCATCCAGCTCGGTTCTCCAGTTGGGAATGTCATAAAACAGATCCTGTAAAAGCCAAGTACAGGGCATAGTTTTATTGGAAAAATATTATAGCATTTCTTGTACAGCGCATGTGATTTTTTCCGTCTATTTTTAGGTAATGTGCAAGCTACTCGTACAAATGGCAAAGCGGGGAGAGATAAGGCCATAAGGGCATGTGGAAGTTCTCGGCTAGAGAGCAGAGGAGCTCCGGCAGCACAACCGGTGCGTGCGCTCTTACCGGTTCCATTTCCCTGCTTCTGAAAACCCAGACAGCGGAGCCAGCATGCTTCTGGAACCGGTTACGGTCCGCGATGTTTAGTTATTGCGTGAGCGACAGTTAGAAACAGGCGTGTTGGTCGAGACGGAAGTTAGGCTTCGGTGGCGGCGTCACTTCGTGGGTAGACCTCTTGCGGCTTGCTGATTCTGCTGTGGCTGCATTTGCCGTGACTGCTGGAGCCACGTGCATGCCTGCGGCCGTTGACGCAGGTCATTAAGCAGAATCCACGGCTGAACTTGCGGCAGACGTTCGTGGTTTCCGATGGTTATCCTTGCGAGTTACGCTGCTCCTGGCAGTCCGTAGCGATGTGGCCGATTCTGTGACAGCGATTGCACCTGGTGCGGCCGCTCCTATGTAGAGTTAGCGGCTCGTCGGGCAACTGTGCGGCAGAGTTACGGAACTCGATATCGTATTCCAATAAGCGCTCCAATTTAAAGCCGCGAGCCGGATCTGTCATCTCAGCGAAATTAGGTCGAAGTATTTGAGCAGTGGCAAAAGTAGTTCCGGTTTCGTATGCGTGTGTAGCCGGCAGAAAGGTTGACGGTCTTGACGTTCAATGAAGGTCATCAACCTTTCTGTTAAAGGCCATAAAACTTTCTTCTCAACATTTCTCTAAAGGTCAACAACCTTTCTTTAAAGAAATATTTAAAAATATTTGGGTGCTTAACCTGCAGAAAGCTGGATTGGCGAGTTTTTAAATGAAATCGCATCTACCAATCTGCCGAGCCAACCCGTCGGTGTCACTTGATCTATCAGTGCCACCACTCAGCCCATTCAGATTCATTGTGACAGTCAGTGCACGCCGTTAGTGATCCGGCAAAAAAGGCACTCTGTCGGCATGTCATCCAACATTTTTCGTCTCTCCGCTGAAATATTCCTTTGAGAAATTGTGGAGGTATGGAGGAAATTGTGGCTGTCTCCATAGACTCGTGCGTTAAACGCCAGTTTTTTTTCTCTCGTTAACGTCTCTGTAAAACCTCCGATCAACATTCCAAAAAGTGGAAAGAAAGTCTTTCAGAAGTTTTCTGGTACCCAATAAACTACTGTTGGCTGCTGATGACGTAAATCAAGGCATTTTGAATACAGAAAAACACAATTTGGATGCTACGCAGAGAACCTATCATAAGCAATGACTCTGATTCACGTTGTATGCTTCCAGCGGCATATATTCGGTACCCAAAAGCTTCTAAAAGTTTTCTCTACCTTTTACAATGTTGGGCATGAGGTTTTATCAAGACGTGCACAAAAAAAAGGCAATATGCTATGGAGACAGTCAGCTGATTTTCACCGTGACTTGATTCGCTTCTCGTCTACCTCTAGGTCTCTATTATATATTAAAATAAATTACTTACTGGGAAGATTAAAAAAGGATGGCATTGAGGCAGAGCGATAAATATACATACTGTACAAGCTTGTCCGGCAATTTCTGCCGGTTCAATACAGCGAAATACTGTACACAAATTTGCGTTTTACGCCAAACTCCATGCTACGACGCGCCACGCCACACTCTTGAATACGTAACTTGCAACTGGCTGGAAGGTGGGTTGGAGCACGCCAGATAGTAATTCAATGAGAATAACAGTAACTGCCTGACGGAAGGTGGCTAAAAAAACGGTCGGTGTAGTAATGGCCAATCTGACTGCGAAGCGCATTTAGGCGATCCGATAAGCGTAGTGTCGTGGCCATCGTTTTAAGCGCAAATTTCGCGCTAGCTGTAGCTTTACGATAGAAATTACCAGAAAAGCTTGTACATAATCGCATCCAGTTTTTTGCCGAGTCAGTGGCGGCGTGCATTTATTGTCACAATGAGCCTAAATGCTCTCAATGGTGTCATCGCTAGGCCATTTGACACCGACGGGTTGGCTCGGCAGATTGGTGGATGCAATATCATTGAACATCCACCATCCACCGATCCACCTTTCTGCCGGTTGCGAATGCGAATATTTTTAAATGTTGCTGAAAGTGTGAAACTAAGATAAGCTGCAATAAGATACTAGTAACAACTTAATGGGTCTTCGGAAGAAATCTCAGTCGACCTTTATTCTAATCGTTTTTATCGCTCTTGACTGATATCTCGGACAGGAAACTTTTGTGTGGGGCTTCATCTAATTAGTACTTGCAAAATTAAGGAACGACCTTTACAAAAGAAATTGACGGCCTTTCTAGAAAGGCCGATGGCCTTTAGAGAAAAGTTTGTCGAAAAAATAAATGGTCTCTAGGAAAAGGTTGATGACCTTTGACAGAAAGGTTGATGATCTTCATTGAGCGTCAACCAACAACCCGTCAATCCTCCTGTCGGATGCATGCGTGCGGTGCAGCATGTGCACAGAAAAGGAGCGCTTCCAGCTGGCGAGCGAGATCGTCTGCTTATTCTTTGTAGCGGAGCAGGCAGAGCACAATATGAGTGGAAAAATTTAGTTCCGGGGAGTAGTTCCGGCACCGGTCACGAGGCAGCATCAGCATGTTTTGTCTGAAATCTCACATGGCCAGGAGTTTGCCAGGAGTCCGGAGCATTCGACGAATTTGTGTGGGGTGGAGAGAGGGTTGCGGTATTATCGAAGCACGGAGGGACCGCTTTGATTTCTGGCGATTTCCTTGGTGTGTGCCAGTGTGCGTGTGTAGTCGGCAGAAAGGACGGGTTAACTGTTTACGATACGTAAACCATCCTGCCGGATCCGTAAACCTTTATGCCTGTGACATGCGTGTCATCCAGAAGATGAAAACCTTCGAGGTTCAACACCCTTTCAGGCGTCGCTACGGTCGATCGAAACCAAGAGGGTTGAAAGAGCTAATCGAACTGTTCCGACTGTGGCCGAGGAGGATGCCGCTTGGGAAGCTTTGTTGGCGTTGAGCTCGTTTCCATTGCCAAAGCAGTGTCTTCGTAATTCTTCTGAAGTTCTGGTTTGGTATTCCCTGTATGTACTTGGGCTTCCAATAACGTAAGCTGAATTCCAGTCTTTGATTCTCATCCAACACCATGGCAGCAGGGAGTTGCTTTTTAATTTGCTGGGTATTCGAAGAGGGAACTTGTTCTTGGATCTCGCCCCTTCGAGTTCGGGTTCTCCCATACAATAACGTTAATACAGTTTTTATTAGAATGTTTAATCAAGTGGCATGAGGGCAGTTCAGGCTGAGCATGAGGGCAAATATTTTAAAATATTTCCTTATAACTTTTTCTTAATAATTCTGGCTCTGCCAGTAAAAGCGCCTGCTGATGTAGAACATCTGAAGTCCCTTGGAATATGGGTTAAGACGAGGAGAAGAGCGCGCAAGGCCAGCGTATGGGCACAAAATAAAGTGATGCATTTTCTCTGTTCTACATTCAAAGGCTGCAATCAAATTCGGTTGCCAAGCGCTGAATAAATTCCTTCGCAGTTGCGCAAAAGAGAAGGAAAGCGCTCTCCCGAGGGGACCCTTTATAGTGCCCCCGCGCTCAATTAACAATAATCGCACCATCTTATCCTTACCTTGTTGTTCACCATAAGGACTTGAACGATTACACGGAGTGTCGGGCGGTGTTGTTTCAGCATGAGAACTTTAAGGTGGTTGTGATAATCTTCCTCTTGCGGGCTAGGTGCACTTTCGTTGGCAAAGACAAAGGCACACTGACAATTTTCTGAGATATTTTTGTCGATGTCTTTGTAGCTAAACACCGATCCAGAGACAATGGTCAAAGTTCGCTTGTGCTTTCGTGCTACAATGTGCATCTCTTCTGTTGCCCTTAATAGTACTGCGGACCTATGAAACCGAGCCGTATTAGGAAGAAGATTGGTACACAAAAAAGCGCATTTGCTCAGTAAAGGCGGCTTACTCTAAAAGAACCATGATGTTTCCTTCCACGTTGAAGTCGTGGAAGGCTTTGGCAAAGTGCTCTAAAGCCGTAGGACTAACCGATCCCAGTATCAGCACAAACCTGAACCAGCAAAGGTGATTCTGATAAATTAATCGCATGCAGTTTGCTGTAGAGGGGCGAAAATGGGTCTAGCCGAACCAGTCCCTTGTACTTCTGATGTCAGCCGGCTGGTGTTTTGCGATGTGGCTATACATGGCGCTTATATACCGCGCCTGATTTAACCGTATGTATTGCCGTAACGCCATACTCCAGGCGGGTGACGACAGCAGTACAGGGAACCGGGCCGAGTAGACTTGTTTGTCCCCCTATATGCAGCTCTCATGATTGTATTGTACATACGCTTCGTCTTTTTTTCTGTAAATTTTGCTAAATGAGTGCATCCGCAGAACGGTCGGCAGCTTCTTGAACATGTCCGGAATAAGTTGTGCGATGAAAAACTGCAAAACATTCATATTGTTTTGAGGAAGTGTGCCGATATATATTAACGAATTCGTGTACATGTACGAAAACTTTTACTTTGCGTACTTCAGATGAATGTCATAAACCAATGCAGAAATACAATTTTTGCATTGGTTTATGACATTGTACAGGAAGAAAATGATTTGAATACACGGGCGTGAAAAACGGCTTTTTGCCCGCAACATCCGGTTGGGGAATTAATGGGGACATACAATTCCAAAAGGTCAATAGCATAGAGAGCAGAAAGTCTCGTTAGCAATATATGATCTTCGAATTTTGCATGAAAACATACACTGGTTTGAATATCTTTTTAACATGAACCAGGTCCAAACCATAAATTTTTGACCTTTAAACAAAATTAAATTGAAAAGGTATTTTGAAATTCGAAAGAATGGTGGAAACCTAATTGGGTAGGGAAGCATATGTCTTCTCGCATCTAAACTTTTGGAATTTCATGTCTTCAGTAACGTTCCAAGCGCATGTTGCGCGCTACACGCACATGTATACAAATCATTTGGCTGCAGAATGTACGTAATAAACCATGCAAAATGGTATTAATTTTATGAGCGTGCGAAAGCGAAAATTTTAGTACCTCAACATGAATATGGATGTACCGGCACACTTCCCTTAACACAGGTGCTAACAGTGATAAAACCAATCATTTTTGGATTGTTGCTTTAAAACTAGTGTGTGACTGTGAACTATCCAGTACATTGAGATGAAAGGCTCAGTTAGTTTAAAAGTGCTAAAAAATTGTACTCATACACAGCTGACAAAGTGCTAGCAACAAAGAAAAAGAAAAACATCAAACTTATTTTCAATAATTCCAACGACAGCCTTACCCAGTTGACTGCTTGCACAATATATACGGATATTCTGGCGAACGTTGACTCGAGCTGAACTGAAACTACATCCACTAATACCATTTTCCCATATAGAAATGCTACGACCTTTCCATAAGTCAGGTTTCTTTGTACGTCATTGCCTTCAGAAGAATACGGGTCACCAATTATTTCCATCTAAAAGCGCAAAAATGAGATTATACGCACTCAGCTGTAAGAATTAACTTTGCTGTCTTTGCATTTCCAGAGTAACAGGGCTAAATTTTTTCTGAAGCACTTATAACCGCAGGATTTTGAAATATACTGGGGTCACACAAGCGACCAGCGAGCACATATCGCGAGTAACGGGTGGCCGAACAAAAGGGCCGTCTCCTGTGTTGGTTTGTTTCTCGCAGGCCCTATGTCGCATCGTAAACGGTTAAACTTTATTCGATAGAGAATTCTATTAGCTAAAGTACAAAACTTAAAGGTATCTGAAAAAATAAAGCCGTCTGCGTTTGCAATGATGAAAATGAAACTGTGTAAATTTTTCGTGTCCCAGCGCGTAAAACATAAAATCTTGTGCCATTTCTTCCCTGAATGGGTTTTTTCCAACTGTTTCATCAAGCGTAATACATTTTATTTTAAGAAAAAAAAGTTAAACATGCTGCATAGGCCGAACGAGTTATGCAGTCAGGACACATTGTAACTTTTCCCAAAAATGCCGGGTTTTTTATTTAGGTTTTTCAAGTATTTTCCGTTAAATATTTTGGCTTCTTGACAGGTTGCACGAAAAATACAGGTTTACCATTTAAATGTTGTTAGTTCATTGCCCTTTTGAGAAATTGAACCGGTTAAGCTTTTAGAATGTCGGTTAGAAATTTGCTCCCAAAACTCTGTTTGCCGGTTTCACCAGAATTACTCGTGCGGAGTCTCTGTTATTCAGCGTCCTGACCAAGCACGGTAGCTAGAATACTGCAGCTTCTTACAGTAACAAAGCGAAAAACAACCCTTCTACCCAAAACAGTAAAGCAAGATACATTAAAGTCGTTAGTTGAAAGCAAGAATTTTTAAATTAGAAACGGGTAATTTCATATTTTCGCTTACACGGCATCGTTCAAAACCAGCCAGATTTCCAAAACATTTCATAAAATATTTATCCTTATGAATTTTGACTGACTTAACTTTTTCATGTTAGACATAGATCTTCCGAATGAAACTAAGATAGCGTCATCATGTGTTGGACGGACCAGCGGACCCACTGCCATTTTGTTCAGCCACCAGGCACTTGACATCTTACATACCTATGGCTACAGCCTAAGGACAACCGATCACTTCGAGCTACGGTATCGGCTTTCCTCATTACGAGCAAATCTTTTCGGCCGCCGAACAATTTCGCCGCCACTCAACCACATTACTTTCGGCTAATACGTTCACCTAGTCGCCTTCCACAAATGTTGCTTACATTCCACCGAAACTGCCTTGTAATTTCATGTGTACAGTGTTAAAGATGCTATTTAAGAAAAGTAATAAAATTCGTGTGCACAGGACCAAATTTGTGTGCATCCACGGGAACGTGTCTTGGAGGGGCGCTTGTTCCGAAGGGCGCTTTCGCGCCCTTTGGAATACTCTTTTGGATTGCTTTCTGATATTGTGAAGCCAGAAATTTGTATAAACAGGCGTTTTTGCGTTCTACATCCGGTGGCGGATTTATGAGGGTAACATAATTCCTAAAAGTTTAAAGGCAATCAGGTGTATCAAAAGTATTATTAAGAACCGATTTTCTTTAATTTTGCACGTAATTCACGTAGCCATTTCCATGATTTGTTTTTCAAATTTTTAATTTATTTTAAATTTTTCGAAATTCTTTTTGAAATGGGGAAAACAGACTATATCAGTTAATCGGTGTAAGAACGATCATGCAAAATGTGGTGAATTAGTAAATTTGAAGGAGAGAACATTCTATAATGAGACTTTTGGTACACCTGAATACATTTAAACTTTTTTCAAATTTTTTTAGCCTCATAACTCCGCGACCGGATGTTGCAAGCGAAAACCAGTATACAAATTTTTTGAGTACACAATGCCAAAAATAATCCAAAAAAGTGTCTGGAAAGTGCATGAAAGCGAAAGTTTCCGCGAATTTATGGAAATTTGCTGCTGTGTACCGGGCCAAATCCCTTACTGGTAACTTATTATTAGTGGTAAGTCAAACAGTATCACATGCAACAAAGTAAGAAATAAAAAAAATGCAAAAACAAAAAAAGAGATGGAAGCAAAAACCCGAAAAAAGGAATAACCTGAATTTATCCATTTCTAATTAGAGGCTGTTGTTAAAACTAAATGACCGTAGGTCACGTTGCTGTTTCTGGTAGAGGGTTGTTTCTCGTCTTTTGTACTTACTGTAAAGAACTGCGATATCATAATGACCAGGTTTTGTCGACTACAGGAAGAAGAGAGAGCGCGTCGATTTGGTTCTCCTGAATTCTTCAATCAGGCTTTTTGAAAGAAATTTATAAACAACGCTCCGGGAGTTTATCTGGCGAGCATATGTATCTGATTGGACATTGCTTTTACTACGTATATCAGAACACAAGAAATGCTTGTTGTAGACAGTCTTGCTGCAAAAACTTTTAAAGCAATTTCAAAAAAATAGTAATAGGCATTTTTTTGGGAAAGTCACAAAGTTTTCAGCCTGCAAAACTGACTACCCGAGAATATGATGAAATAATAAAAAAATAAATAAAGCCCTGCGAAGCCAAGTTGGGACAGTTTTTCTCAAAAATTTCGCATGAACCACCTGTCACCAAACAAAAGCTTATCAAATATGTACGTTTTCTGTTGTGGGTGTCCAACATCTTTTGCACTTCAGGATACCATGTTAAGAACATTCTCTGGATTGTGGTGAAATAGAAACTAGGACAGACTAGCTTAAATAAGTTGTTCGACCCATCGAACTTATTAACCCTCGCCCTATTCAAAGTTTGTTTAAAAGCTCTGTGGATGTCGTGGTCTAAAAGCAATAACTTTAAACTGCTTGCCTTCCATTTCTTTGCGAATTAGTCTATGTGCCTGCCCATTTCGATCAGGCGTCTGTGACCTTTACAGCTTGAGTGCAGACACCAGTACACTGGTGAGTGACCTCCTCTGAATGCTCGCCGTGCAGTCGTTCGGTGCCTTATGTAAATGTTTTTGAAAAATCTTGTTCAGGAGGTCCTGGGCGTCAATCTAAGTTTTACTATTTGCACAATAAGCCCGGGGTATTCTGGACCCACTGTTCGGAAAGCAGCTACAACCGTTTATCCCTGGCTTTGTCGGTGTTTTGTTCCACTTATTCAGCCCAACGATCTCCCCGCTTGAGCAATATATTTCTGTCAAAACCGTCAAAATCGTATTATGTTATCCATGGGTCATCCATGAAAAATAATAATTCGAGGTTACCACATTCTGTGCGCTAGGCAATCCTATTGTTGGGAAGGCGCGTTACAACATACCTGTCTATGGGAAATACACCTTATTTAGTGGCTACCGCAGGCACGGGTGGAGGACAAATTTTCTGCCAACTTGTAACGGACACCTTCTGGGCCCCTCAACAGTTTGCAAAATCTCCCAGGGAAAAATATCTGTCGGTGAAGTTTTTAGAGGGACAGCTGTAAGAGCCCCAAATCCGACCACCACCCCATCCCCTAAATCACCGCTTGGCTCGCTGTCGGTATGCTAAATCGTACCGGTTTTGACAGTTCCGGATTTTTAATAAAAAGTTACACTAAACTGTAAGAGCGGGACGCTCCGCCCTCCTGAGTAGCTATTCGCTGTTTCTGGGGATTTCCACCCCGCACATTGCTGCGCTGTTTGACGGATCTGCAGCACAGTCGCACTGGCTGCAGAATCCTTCCTTGTTAGTCTGGTGTTGCCGCGCCACGGAGCGCATTAGATTTCGGCGTCAAAGCCTTATCCGGGTTCACTGCTGTTCCGCTGTCGAGGCTACCTGTGGCGCCCATACGGCGCCCGGTAACAAAACATATTATAAGATAAAAGTGAAGCGACGAATACAAGTATTTCTAGAATTTATTTTATACAACTGTCCCAACTTGACCCGGCAGGGTTGTACTAAAACAATGTGAGAAAGCTAGAAGAAAGGAAGCAGAATGTAGCAACAAAAGTTACCTAGCAAAAAGTTTCCTTCTGAGTTGAGATTCTAATGGTCAAATGGTCAAAGCGAAGTTCGAAAACGGTTGTAGTCAGTGTAAACTGTAAGAGCACTGGCTACTTGGGCTAGTATGAGCACGGGTCACCATTACTGCCTGCTGTTCCACGCATCCTCCTCCTCCCCCCCCCCCCCCCCCGCCTGGAATTCGAAGTATTTTCTTTACTGGCGCAGCAAGAAAGTGTCCCTCTATCTTTCGTTCCGAGGAATAAAGACTCAAAAATACGATTTGTTGAAATACTGCGAAGTCTAAGCAACTAACCAGCTGTATCCAGGCAGCAAAACAGAAAAAGGAACATACGATTCGCGTTGCACGCCTGACGACGATGGCATACGCAATTGGAATACCCGTAAATACACCCAACAGCTCGTCGCCAGCCCATACAATACATAGTAATCGCAAGAACTGCAGACCTGAAAGTACACAAACGTTTTCCGTAATTCTATGGAAAAATGCAAGCATCAGCAAAGTAAAAGAAAAACTCACTTAGCCATGTAAAATTCCAACAGTTCCAGTTCGAAATTCTGTTTCGACCGAAAATATAATCGATTTCGTAAATAAGCAAGAGGACGTTCACCGCATTGACCACAAACTCCCAGTTTCGAAGCCATCGCGACATTTCGGCTTTTACCGAGTCCCATGTTTTTCTCCATGACTTTAGGGAAGACGACGATGTGCCGGCGACACGTTTTCTGCAGGTGACACTCTGTGAAACAAACAAAATGCTCGTTTTATTGGGAACCAACAAAATTGCACTCGGAACGAAAAACACCTGCAAAATCTTTAAAACCAGCAAGATTAACAATAAACTGTTTATGATTAGATCCATGAAGGTAATTTTCCAGTACTCATCGTCCTGCTTGCCGTACCATCCGGTTTTCACTTTCCTGCAAGTTACACCGCAATAACTTTTTGAATTATTATCACACCACTGTACAATAATTTTGAAGCACCGAAGAGCTTTGGATACCGCTGTGCCCGCAGACGAGTAGCGTACCTGTCGTGGTACCAATACGGGATGAAGAAGTTTATGACCAAAGACACCATGTTTCCGATGAACACAACAACCCCACGAAAAATCACGAACCAGGACTGTTTCTTCTTAAACGCTGCTAACTGTTTCTGAATTTCAGAACAGTGCCGAATCAGAAAATCAGCAAAAAAAACAATCAACACCAAACCTCCTGCCAAAATTGGGGCCATATAATGGTAAAGCCATGGTAGCTGAGCAAGCGTTGTGTTGCTAAAAAATGTAAAACAATTTGCTATCTGGTATGGAAAAAAACGGCAAAATCTTATTGCGATAAATACAACCTTCAAGCGTTGAAACGCTTTGTGGCAAATAGCGGGAGTATGCAGAAATGCTAGTGCGTGAAAAATGATAGTGCATATGCTAATTCCCAATAACCGGCATGCTAACAGGAAGCGCAGCTTCATTGCGTTCGATGGTGGCAAAAAAAAGACTAACCTGACTAACCTAGCAAATTTGCATAATATTGGACAAATAGTGGAAATATCCTTTTACATATACCAATCAGAAATTCTTCCTGAGAGGTTACTCATTGCTGTCTACTTGTTAGTACTGCTTTACTTGTGCAGTTTACCTGATATGTAAATAATCATGGAATTATAATAAAGAATTAGGAAAATTGCGCAGACTTACCTTATCTCGGCGCACGATTCCCCCGTTTCATTGTTGGTATAATTTGCCATATAAGATCTGTTGAGCGAAGAGCTGTGTGTCTCCATTACAAAAACTAATCCGCGCGGCAAATTATTCCACAAAAATTGAAAAAATTTTAAATTGAAGGTGCTGTAGAAGCGGGAAAATTTTAGAGTTCTGAAACTCATACACAGCTAACAGGACTGATTACGGTTTATGTACAGCTTGCAGTGCCGGCAACGTCGAGCTGTGTGAGTTTTAAATGCTTCGTCTGGTATAAATTCATACATTTCTTTCAGTCCACTAAGGTTCCCGGCGTCTTATGAGAAACGCTGTACATCCGCAACACCGTATGTTTCACGTCGTTAAATTATTTGCCTCGCTTACGGCATTCATGTACCTAGTTTCATTGTTCGCCTTATAAGTTTCTTAGGTACATACAGATACAATCACCGGCCAAATCAAGTGTTAACTTAAACTGCTACTGCTAAGCGGCAATAATTTACTGCTGCGCTAATTTACAAAAATTTCTTATTTATTATTATTAGTACGGAAATTAGTACAGAAATACATAAACAGAAATACAGAAATCACAGAAATACATATATACAGAAAGTATTATTAGTACACAAAGTACTTATTAGTACAGAAATTTCTTATTTATTACGGCAATAACCGGACACAAATGCATAGAAATTAACTTAAATTGTAGATTTTTTTGAATATCTAATGCACTGATATACATCTCAAATGCTGCTGGATAAGTAACTGTTGAACCCTAATTCTATTCTTTTTCAAGCTTGATGTGGAATGAACGTACAAGCCGAGCTTGTACGATAGCATGGAATTTTAGGAGCCCGCGGCTAAATTCATAGCTCGTGTGTGGGTCCCATACGTGTACACACTTACATGAATGTGATTAATTTTGCACTGTCAAATGACTGTACTCGCATTCAATAAAAAAACTGTACTTGTGCATACAGAAAACGCGTGACTCAATAATATTAGTAAACGAGTGTGCACAAGACCGGCATACGAGAACACGGCTGTCAGCAAGCCACGACAACAAGCGAAGAAACCATAACAGTGTAGTGACTACTGCCACTGCTCAGAATTTCCATGAATTTTGTTGCAACGATTTTTTCTTCTAATTATGAAGCTGTAATGGCGTAGCTTTATTAGTTTTTATTTCAAATTGAAGAATTATCTTTCCAGCCATGGCTACAGGTTACATATTTGCTAAAAATTTTCGGGAGAAATCTTCGAACGGGTTCTTGGTTTACCAGGTTGTGCTTGAGGAGTGCGTTGCCGGAACGCAGAAAACAGGCTTCTTGCAGCTATCTAACAGCAACACTTTTGAAAATAATGGATTTAATCATTTGAATCAGTTATCTCCGGGATCCGCCACTTATGAGCTGTTAGTGAAATCAGCCAAACGTGCAGATTCAAAGACGGAAATGGAACAACTGCGGCGAAGGCTTCTACCATTAATAAATATCTCTGTTCAAGGCAAGAGCAGTATTCACGTGCAGCGTTACTATGGCATCGATTACACCTTTCCCAAACCCGGAGTATCCAGAATGTGCTACATATTGACAGAAGAATGCGAAGGTAAATTATTAACCGTTTACGCTCACTCGCGCTTATGAATACTAACCTTATAAAGAAGCTGATAAACAAGCTTACAAATAATAACCATAAGTTTATAAATATTTTCAGAGCTTCTCACGTCATAGATTAAAACAGCCGGGCCGCCAGAATTGTCTACCATGGTAATACAATAACATAATTCATGATCCACATTCCACGGCCAAAAATTACTGTAACCGTACCGAATCTGCTACGACAAAATAAACAGAAAAACGCAGCATAATTTCGGCTTACGTTTCTGAGTATATTGTTCAGTTCACTTTTTTAACCAGCGTGTTTGTCTGAACAGTGGGGGAGTCTTTTGGTTCTTCTTTAATTATTATGATTTAGAATGATTTCCGGTCCTTTTGAAGATTAATACAGTAAAATCTACAAAGTACGTATAGCGCACACCTCCGGATCCCAAATTTTTCGTTGCAGACGTCTGTTTAATGTACAGACCAGATAGGACCAGTGCTCAGTGGGAGTGGCAGTCATTCTGGACATATGGGGTCGCTGCTGGGGGTTAACGGACGCCTCCCTAGCTGGGATCACTGTGATTCCTGATACGCTATTTATACTCCTGACAAATGAACATAGCATATGCAGTGTTGAGTTGTTACAAACTAGTAAAGAATACTAAACGGTTTATTGATTTCTTTGTGTTTTTTTGCTTGCGGAACCATTTTTCTGCTGTTCATTTCCGAAGGGATCGGATAATTAGATCCGTTTAACCTAATTTGCGAGCAGCACCGCCTGCACCGGTAATGTATACATGTATGACAGCTAAACTTCCGGCGCATATGTTTAGTGCAAACGGTTGTGTATCGGTTACATATTGCCAAGGAAAAGCACAGGTCGCAGTAGTGATACTCGTTCACAGATCACAGTACATACTGTTTATTGTTCCCGTATGCCACTGCTTTGCTGTTTCTTAGGGCGCGTTCAAGTACAGTAATACTGTGACTGTTATTATTGCAGCTTTTTTAAAATTTCGGCTGTTATTATCTTCTACTTTTTTTCATCTTTGTCCAAGTCATTCCTATGAGCTCATAGCGCGACATAGTCGGATCCCCACCCTGCTGTCTCATCCTTCATTCAATTACAGCACTGGTGAAGTACACGGCAAATCGTCGGCAATGTAGTGAATGTACTCGTACGACCAAAACACATACAGTACAGATACAGTAAACTCTGTTGGCTTCCACTAATGTACTGCGCAACTGGCCAAGATTTTTATCGAAAGTTTCGACAGAATCTGAGATTTCCATTTTTCGAAACCAAACATAAAGTTTACGTTTACATAAGACGTAAACATGTTATACACTAATGTGTCCATAGAAGAGTGACAGTCCACGAATGCGCCAATAATAATTCTAAAAAAAACCATCTTATTTTCGCAGTAAAGCGCGCGAAAGCACCGGCTGTGGATATCTGCGGCCGGGGATATCTGTTCATACGTCACTGTTAACCAGGGCGGGCACCCGTTTCACAGCAATCTTGAGAAATGAACGAACCATTCATTCACTGCTGGGTGATCGTTCTTGTGCGCAACAGTTAAAACTTAAATGTACTTACATAAATATTAACGATAAATTACAAAGAAGTTAAACCGAATCCTTGTTCGAGTAAGGTGATGAGTTTAAAAACTTTAAAAACATGCTTGCTTATTAATCTTGCTTGTTATAAAGCGTGACAATATACATACAGTGGCTATCGGTTTAGAAAACATCAATCCTATCCAAAAGGACCAAACGAAAAATACTTCGGTTCTTTTTAAATTTACCTTAATTTTTATTTCCCATAAACTATTGTGGCAAGAATTGTAATATATTTCTTATTGGAAACTGGCCACCTGCCCGTCTTATCAGCTGCATCGTTTCTAATGTACAAGTACTCGTACTTATTTTCACGGCATAATGAATCGATACATCCTTTTGACGTTGCCGGCTTATAGTACTTTGTATGTAGTTGTTATACAATGGAAGCCAAAATTGTCTTACATTCGGTCCGGGACCGAATGACCAATAAAAATAAATGGCAAGGCCAAATGACCAATAACAGAAAACGTGCAAGAATACGAACTCTTGTTCCTGGCGCATTTCCTAACGAAAACCATCAAGCGATATCTCAAACGAAAGACAAAAAAATTTCAAGAATTCCGATACCTAACGGGTCATTCTTTATAAGGTCTAAGAGAAAATCGAGCCATTTTAGTTTGCCGTAGACAAAGCACACGATTTCTGTGTGAAAATTGAAACCAAATCGCGGATGCAAATCCTATGCTATGTCTACGAGAAACTTTAGATGCCTCGATTATCTCTTAGATCTTATAGAAAAACAACTTGTTTGGTATCAAAATTTTTGAAATTTAATCCTCATTCGTTTGAGATATCAGTCGATGGTTTTCGTTGGGAAATGCGCAAGGTGCAAGTGTAAATGTCAGCAGGCGGATGACCAGTCAAAAATTTGGCTGTTTGAGTACAGAAAACTGCTTGGTTGCGCGAGTTTTGTGATTACGTAAGTGTAAGACAATTTTGGCGTCCATTGTATACGCCAATCTTGATGGTTGCTTTTTTGCTGCACGCATCCAGATCTACAAGAAATAGTCATATAACCGTTTGTTTGACGCAGGTTTTCCTCTGGACTACCATATGTACAAAGAGATGCTGGACGCGAATCAAGGCACTGCAACCGATATTACTTCGTACTCCAGACAAATTCTGAAAGGCTTGGAGTTTTTGCACACAAACTGCATAATTCACGGTGACATCCGAGGCGCTAACATCATTATATCTAAAGATAAACTGTTGAAGATTACAGGGCTGACCACGATTAAGCATTTTACCGGGGTCGACACACCGCCGAAATCAGTGGAATCAGCAACCGGCACGATACCATTTGTATCTCCGGAAATGGCGGCTTTATCATCACTACCGCAGCGGGCGCAACCACGTGTTGGACGGAAAACAGATATTTTCAGCTTTGGGTGCGTGCTAATACAAATGCTTCAAAATGGCCGTCCTCCATTTTATACAAAAGGGAGTCAAAATGATGTTTTGCTTTTAAAACCCTCGACAATAACGTTGCAAGATATGCACAGATATTTTGAAAATGGATACAAACCGATGTTCCCGACTGGGCACACTTGTTGTCACAATACCTGTGTGAATGGGAGCCTTGGTCATTGCCAGTTATTAACCATGAGTACGGGGTTTACCAGTTTACTGGATGGGTGCTTGAGTGCACTTCCTCATACTAGATTATCCGCTGGAGACCTCCTGATGCTGATTGAGCAGCCCGCCAGCAAAATTGATACTGATCGCGTGAAACTTGTAACTCCAAGTGATATACCCTCTCACAACCGTCCGTTTGCGTCCGCCGAAAGCACTACGGTGCTCACAGTCACAGAAATGGCAAATCCAACGAACAGCAGTAGCAGCAGCGGCGGCGAATATCCTACAGAGCCTGAGCAACTACATCATGCACGTTACTACAACCGGGATTCCTTGGTTTCAGATGGTAATGAACCTCCTAAATCCTCGTCAAATCTCGAATGTGAAAAGACGTCCGATGAAGTTAAACCGTACTATGTCATCCCAGTTAAACGGAGCTCTGAAGAGCAGCGTTTCCGAATCAGGCGATACGAATTAAAGCCAGATGAAAATATTTTAAGAGAGGTCGAAAGCGAAGAAGTTTTCAAAATCGCGATAAGTGTGGATCAGACGGTATTACACTTGGTTAAAGATTCAGATTCCGGTGGGCAAAGAGTGTTGGAAAAAAAGATTCTCCTTCCGGGCCGATTTGCAGACGATCAAACTCCTGGTTCAGTTTCCATTATTTCAGTATACGACCGGGACACCGGAAGGAAATCGCTGTTTGATAACAAGGAAATGGTTTTTAATACATTAACGAAAGACCCAGAGGCGAAGTTGGAAAATATCGTCAAACACCTTGTAGTACTTCGGGAACCATTTGACTTTTTTGTATTCACAGAAAGCGAAGGTACATAATTATTTTATTTTTAAATTACACCGTTCTAAGCGACCACTAGGTCACCTGCTACAACGACTACTTGCATAGTTGCATTCAGACAAATCGTTAGCGCCAGTTGCATGTACACAAGCATTCTTAGCCCTTGTCATAATAATGCAATTGTGTCTTTAGGTCACCTGCAGCCACTGTCGGCATTAACAGAGTCCGACGATTTTGACACCACGCTTGTTTCAAATTTTACGAAACAGATTTTGCATGGACTGCTATTTTTGCATGATCGCAGTATTATTCACAAAGATATACGTTGTGCGAATATCCTTGTGGGGCGTCGAAGTCAAAATACCGATTCCCAAGAACACGTCTTAAAACTTGCTCACTTTGAAAAGGCCTCCTATCTTGATCCGAGCTTGCGCAATTTGGTTGATGTCCCGGAGGGGTCTTCTCGATTTGCTTCGACAGAAATGCAACAACTTGCAAGCACTTCATCCAGCAAAGTTGGAACAGCAACAGATGTTTTCAGCTTGGGTTGTACCGTAATCGAAATGCTTGAAGGTGCTCAACCGAAATGGAACAGCAAAAAAGGTGAAGACCAAGAACCGTTCGACTTCAAGCCCGAAAACTCTTTCGACGAATTTCTAAATAATTTACGCAGATTGGCAGACGCACGCGCCATGCCTGACACCGGAAGTTTAACTGACAAGAATGCCCTCAGTTTAGTTGACCAATGTTTTCTCCGGTCCATGAAACGGCCAACTTGCGAATACCTCCTGAAAACACACCCTTTCATCAGAAATATGCCCAAAACTATTCCGCTTAGTTTCATTCGAGCAATTGGGGATTCTCAGAGGTATTTTTATGCCGAACGCCTGGATGGTGCCTTTCCGAAAAACGTAGCAGTAAAAAGACTGATCAATTCCCTCGATGACTCGACAGCTTTTAAATCTCCGGGCTCACATCTGAGATCGCTTATCAGGCTCAATCATCCTAACATAGTACGCTATTTTGGAGTACAACCCGAGCCGAATACTGGTGGCGACTGTATTATAATGGAGTATTGTGAAGGTAAGGAGTTTGCGAGCCGGCGCCCTGCATTCTTTGGTCGTGCCAATAACAACCTTAGTCGTGCGAATAAGCACAGAGCAAACTTGGTCACTTTATACTTTTTAATGTTAGGATGAAGATACTGTGGCAAAATAGCATGGCCCTTTTCGATCCACATTCTACTATGAGTAACGGAGAGATAATTACGTATAATAAATGGAGATACATTTAAATTCCACATGCGTCCACATGACCAAGTGCATCCTATTTTACACGTGAACGAGCTTTTTAAAAAAAATTTGTTTCAAGAATTGTATCTAAGCAAAATTGTTCACGGTTTCAAGGCCACCTTGAAAGGGAGTTAGATCGTTTGCGGCATCGAGCCGGCACGCTTCTGAACGGACGCTTTAAAAAAAATTCCTGTGAGGCAGTTCTCGACCACGATCTACCAAATGGTGCTTTCAGTTCTTTTCGAAATTTTCTGGTTAGCGAGATATGAAAACTCTAGGGAGGTCGGGCGTAGTATAAATCATTTCCTGAGTTCGTGTAGCCGGCAGTGTGCGCTAGCGCAATGTCGTGGCTGCCGCAGCTTCCACGCCTTCCATTGTAGTTACTGTACTGAGTTCTATCTCGAGCTGGTCGCGGCTGCAGAAGGCCGTCGCGAAGTTTAGTCTTAATTCTCGTTGCATTTTCCGGTTTCGACGTCATTCCTACTGCCCGTAAGGCAGTCAGACATTTCGTTTTCCGTTCTTTATTTTGAAAAGTCTTTTCTGAATAAGACATCTTCGTTAACTCCAAATCTGTAAATCTCCGAATCTGTTCAGATAAAAGCAAAATCATGGATCGTAAAAACAATTTTCCAGTTTCGTTACGAAGAAAATTCACAGAGGCCTGCCACCTTCCTGCAAAACGTAATTTTATCTTTATTCGTGCTCGTGAAATGTTCACGGGTCAAAGTGTTTACCTAATCAATCAATAAACCGTGCTCCATCTACGTTAATTTTCCAGTCTTAAAGGTAGTGAAGGTCCTTCATTCAGCAACGCGGACGCATTCTGAATGTTCGCCTTAGTGTCATAGTGGAAGCCGCAACATCTTTCTGCTGGAAGCCGGCAGGAAGTCCGAAGCATCAAAGGTCTCAAACGAATGAGGATTAAATTTCAAAAATTTTGATACCAAACAAGTGGTTTTTTATAAGATCTAAGAGATAATCGAGGCATCTAAAGTTTCTCGTAGATATAGCATAGGATTTGCATCCGCGGTTTGGTTTCAGTTTTCACACAGAAATCGTGTGCTTTGTCTACGGCAAACTAAAATGGCTCGATTTTCTCTTAGACCTTATAAAGAATGACCCGTTAGGTATCGAAATTCTTGGAATTTTTTTGTCTTTCGTTTGAGATATCGCTTGATGGTTTTCGTTAGGAAATGCGCCAGGAACAAGTGTTCGTATTCTTGCACGTTTTCTGTTATTGGTCATTTGGCCTTGCCGCCGGCAAAAAGGTTGATGCAGATCGTTAGAGAGGTTCACGGAGCATCAAGCCATCGACCTTTCGCCGGATTCCGGCAGGATGGTTGATGCGGCACCTTTGATCATTAACTGTAAAAATGTTTTCTTAAAAGTTTCGGAAAAGCCCAATACAGTATTGACTTTCTCAGATGAGCATTTTTCCAGCAAGGCTTCAACAAATTTGTTGCTGCAAAACAAGACTTTTTTGTGCTAGTTTATAAAATTTCCATCTGTTCTTCCCTATTCTAAATACTAGATTTCTTCTGCCTATTAAAACAATTTACTGACCCACTGAAGACCGGTTATTGGTAAAACTTTAACCGGGGAACCTCGATCTACGGCCTTTTTGAGACAACGTTTAAGCCTGGCAGTAGTCAGAGGAAATGCAGCGGCCGTTTTGGGCACGCTGCGCGCTCGTAATGATACTAACGATTTTGGATGTTTTTTCAATGTTTAAAATTCAATCATTTTAATTAGTTTAAATTTGCGCAGGCTTCTTGTCATTGAGTAGAGGCAGTTGCCAAATAAAAAAAAATAACAAATAATGGCGCTTACGTATTTACTCTAGATACAGTCTTCAAGCAGACTGCACAGCTTTTACCGGCGTTTTACTTTTTAGGTGGCAACTTACACCACGCTGCGCAATTTAAGATCATATCGGCGTTAGTACAGAAATGGACTCGTCAGATTCTTCACGGCCTGGAATATCTCCACAACAAAAATATTGCCCACGGATACATTGACGGTACGAATATCGTTCTAAATCGTCCGGACTGGGATTTGGCTGTGTTGAAAATTACCGATCTTGATTTATGTTCATCTCTGAGAATGGAGCCGGTGTTTAGTGACAGCAGTCGAACTCGCTTCATGTCACCAGAAATGTGTAAGCTAGGCCGCTCAGCATGTGTGAACAGAGATGAACTATGGTGCAAAATCGATATCTGGAGTGTGGGTTGTGTCGTGTTAGAAATGATCAGCAAAAAACCAAAATTTACCAAAACGGAAGGCGGCAAAACCGTTAAAATTTTAGAACTGGACGAAGTGATTGATTATGTTGCAAGGGGTGGAAAGCCAGCAGTTCCAGTCACGTTACCACAGGAACTGCAAGATTTTATTCAGCGGTGCTTCGAACAACACCCGGTGCTGCGGCCGTCTGCAAGAGAACTGCTCAAAACCCCGTTTTTATCGAAAGAAAGTATTCAGCAGTGGCCGGATTCACGGCCATCGTTTGTCATGAATCAAGAAGCGGACTTTTCAAGCGGATCAGTGAAAAAGAAAATCTTGAAGACATTGGGTAGCGAGCATCAATACGAATCAATACGTACAACTTTTGCACCCAAATCATTTTTTGAGCGAATGGATTCACCAGTGTTTCGAACAAAACAGCGCAGACAGGATTGCTGCGATGCAGTTACTAGCTGAACTATCAAAACTGCTGGACAGGGGTCATTTCCAAGCGGAAGTGCCCATTGTGCCGAGTCATATCCAATATGCCGAGGACAGCACACACAGGTTAACCGTAAAACAGTTCGTAGCTGAGCTGTTAAAACCGCACGACAGGATTATTCCTATCCAAGCGGAAGTGCTACATCTGGATGTGCTGCCTGATAAAACAACGAAACAAACAGAGATCTTGCGTTCGTTCGCGCATGACGATCTTCACACCTTTCGCCAGGATGTTTGCAGAGTCCTGGATGTGGCATTCATGACACCGCAATTACATGGAGGAATTTTCCCACAGAGCTTACGTTCGCATCAAAACCGCCCAAAAGCTGAAACCGATTTACAAAACTTGTGGATGACGTGGATAGATGAGGGTTCGGAAAATGTGGCTTACATTCCTCCCGAAGGTGTTGCAGCCTTACCGACTTCCTCTGGGGACACTAGCAAAACCGATTCCTGGGCGCTTGGATGTCTGACCATTTCCTTCATCAACATCGATCAGCCGCTGCAACTAGTTGTGCGCGACATGAAACGCGCTTCCGTAGTCGAGATGTTTGAAATGAAGCAGCCACTGCTTCCGAGATTAAAAGCATTCTATGCGGGAGCGGAAAAACAGAAGGATCTTGTAACTGGTCCAAATATCGAATCAATTAGACCGGTTCCACATGCTTGCGACGATTTCTTGCACCACTGTCTGAAGGTTGATCCGGCTGAGCGATGGAGCTTGGAACAGCTGCGTGCTCACCCTTTTTTAGATTTAGGAAAATCTGTAGATGACCTTTTTGCAGCTGATATGACTTATTACAAGCAAGTATTACCTTGTACGCTTACTGAGGCGAATATGCAGATGGACCGGTTACTGGGCGGGGAAGAAATATTGCGGCGGCTGCTATCCGAACATGGCCTACCAGACAGCAGTCCAAGATACCACCCACTGCAACTGGCTGATATCTGGGGCTTTAATGTCTTCGACACCGAAGACAGAGGGTTGCATTTTATGCAAGCGGAGATGCAGCGATTTATGGTGCGGCGATACCAGCTTAATCTGGAAACAAAACAATCAACCCAGCCAAAATATTTAAATGTGAAAACCAGGCCTGTAAGTTTTAAAATCGCTCTTACCGGAACCGAACCAAATAATGACGAACTGCTTAAGAAACTTGTGCTCCCTGAAAGGGCTGGAAAGAACAGTCAGTCATATTGGGCATCAATCATATCATCGGCAGAGAAAGATAAACGACCAAACAGAGTGGTGCTGGGAAATAAGCTGAAAGTATTCCAACTACTTATCAAAGAAATTGCGCCGCAAACGGAAAATATTATACAGCATTATGCAGTAAAACCGGAAAATCCGACTACGGAGTTACGAATTTTTACGGAAAGCGAAGGTAACACATCCACAGTTCTGATAGTGAAAATATTGGTGTAAATCAAAAAAGCATTCTTTCAAAATTTCCTTCAGAAATGATTAATATGTCAACGCTGTGTTTCTTAGACGCATACACTCTATTGTCGGGCTTGTTAATGACACGACGATTTAGAAAGACCATGATTCCTGGATTCACTGGACAGATACTGAGCGGACTCACGATATTAAATTATTATGGTATTGTTCATAAAGATATCCGCTGTTCTAACATCCGCGTGGATGAAACCAAGAATATTGTAAAAATATGTCACTTTGAGAAAGCTTCCTATCATCGTTGGGATTCCAATCTGGGAACGTCCATTACATATCCAGAAGGATCAGCACAGTTTGCCTCCAAAGAAATGCAGGAACTGCTGGCTTTTGATCTGAATGGCCGCCGGGCTGACGTGGGACCGGCGACGGATGTGTTCAGTTTGGGTTGTACGGTCATTGAAATGTATACACGACAACTACCAGTGTGGGTGTACGAGAAAGATGGGAAACTGAGACAGTATCATTTTAGCGGGGGTGATGATAGAGAAGTGGATTTTGTTAGGCATACATGTGCATTATGGAATCTCCAGGCTATGCCGGATGTCAGCTGTCTTTCCGACGTTATGGAACCCGAAATGGCAGAGAAAGCGCGAGAGTTTGTCCGCCTTTGCTTCGCGCCATCTGATGAGCGACGGAGTAGTGAAGTGTTAAAATGGCATCCATTTGTCAGGTCCGCCCTTTAAGATCCGCATTTTAACCGGAGAAAGATACTTTCTGTTGCAGTAACTGAATTCATAGTGGTGGCACAGAAATATTGAACAGAGACAATTGAGAAGTTACGCGAAAAAATATTCAACTGGATAGCTAATTTCCTGTAGTTCTGTACCGCTAATGGACTACAAAAACATAAAACATGACCGGCAGTTATCTCGAATTCCGTACATCGAGTGCTAACAGTTAGGCCCGTAGCGAGACCCCCGTTAAATTTCCAAAATTGAACTCCTACAGTTTTTTTCGATAATTTTTTCTAATCCACATTTGGATCGCCGTTAAAATTCTGAGTAGCATGTTTGAGGCCGATTTTTGAAATGTGAATTTCCCCCATGAATGACTAAAACGGACGGTCGCCAATGCGACACCTTCGTGTTACGGTGTCTCCCCTCACAGCATTCAAAAATCTACTCCTCCCACAGTTTTCATCCTGCATTTTTTCGGAATACAAGAATAAGCTCTTCGTGAAATTCTAAACAACATGGTTATAACCGAATTTTTGAATTCGGTTCACCCCAAAACCGACTCTCAGAGCGGTTGACCCGGCGACAGTATAATTTGTGAGGGTTTCCTCCCGGACCGCCCCAAACACGCGAAAATTACTCGAAGTTATTTTTGTATGTCTTCTTATGTTTTCTTGAGCTTTTTTTATATTTTTACTATTTTTACTCAAATATTTTCTGTTTCTGGGAATTTTTACTTTATTCTTCTGATTTTACTATATTTTCTTGCGTATACTTCTTATGTTTTCTTATGTTTAATCTTATACCTGCTGGTTTTTACTCTTACGTTTCTTATCTTTTGGCAATTTTTATGTTATTCTTGTATTTCTGGTAATTTTTGTATTTTTCTGTGTTTACTAAAACGGATTTTTCTAGAATGTAGACAGGATGATAAAAGAAAAAAAATGAAAATGTCAATGAAACACATCGGGCCATTGTAATCGTTACGGATACACGCATAACTTTATGAACTGGCGCACCCACGCGTGCTTGTCGCTTGAACTCACACAAACAAATGCACGGTGCACATAACTCTAATCACTACACTAGACTAGCGCCAACACAAACAAAGAAATGTCAATTTTACACCAATGAATCCACACGAACTTGTTAAGCGTGTGGTATCTCTTGTGCAAGTTCGACACCTGTATCGGCTTGCTAACTCGAAAAATGGACCAAATGAAGAAAATGGAGTGCTTAGACCTATACAGATGTCACTGTCTAAATAGTTCCACACGAATGGTGTACTTGCACTTAATGTAAAGCTGGCCATCTTCTTTTCGGTTAGTGCACGCTGTTTTATTATTATCTCTTTCTTGTGTACGCTGTTTTGGTGACCTTCTGCCCTTTGCGGCTTGCACATTTTGATTTGGCTGTTCCCTCGCAGCGTTTAATTTGCAGTTCGATTCAGACTTTCTATTAGCACCATTTCCCGCCTAGTAAAATTCATTTGAACTGGATCACTCCTTGGCTTACTGACAGAAATAAACAAACCACAGATGCCTTCTTTTACTAAAGTTTTTACGGATTTACAGGTCATGTGCTATCTAAGATTTAGTACAGATTTAGGAGTACTATACTACATGCGGGTGTCTTTGCATTTATTATATACTTTTCAACAAGCAGGCATTGTTTATTTTAAAGGAATTACATATTATTTAGACGGACGTGTGCAAAATAGTGGGGACAATTTGCAACATAATTTTTTTGTTTTATTGGTGCGGCTCAAACAAACCTGGAAAAAAGTGCCTATCAGCTATAGACTCATGCGCGGAGTTCACTGAACGAGAAACAACAATGTTTGACTTATGTTTATAGACCTAAGCGTTTTACCTGAAATACACTTTCTCGGGTAACGATTTCGTCGCTGACCGGCAACGTACACTGCCTTCCACTCTTCTTTTAGCAAGTACTTTTTCCCCAGACGTCTTTGTGGATTTGGACCCGACCCGAACTGATTTGTGGATGATACGCAAACACAGGCGAGGACGCATAAATGCACACGGTACTTACACGACCAAACCCCCCAGATGGCCCAGACTCCAACTCTGACTCTGATTCTGACCACTCAAACTCTGACTCTGACTACTCAAAGTCTGACTCTGACCGCTCAAAGTCTGACTCTGATTCTGAAGGTTTCTTAGGTTTCTTAGGCTTCTTAGGTTTCTCAGGTTTCTTAGGTTTCTTAGGTTTCTTAGGTTTCTTTAGGTTTCTTAGGTTTCTTAGGTTTCTTAGGTTTCTTAGGTTTCTTAGGTTTCTTAGGTTTCTTAGGTTTCTTAGGTTTCTTAGGTTTCTTAGATTTCTAGGTTTCTAGGTTTCTTAGTTTTCTCAGGTTTCTTAGGTTGTTTTTTAGGTTTCTTAGGTTATGCTTAGGTTATTCAGTCAGAGTCAGAATTTGGACAGTCAGAGTCAGACTTTGAGTACTCAGAGTTTGAGCGGTCAGAGTCTGAGTCAGAGCTTGAGCGCGGGCCCAGCCAGAGACATGGCCGAGGGTGGTTCACCGTCCGACGAATATTTGCCCAGGCATGATAAATGAGGATTGTTACAGCAGCAATGGCGCGGTCACCGGCTATAATCGTGAAGCAGTTATCCAGACCTTGTACGATGGAAGTGCTCCAGATACTCTTCCGCCGAAATATTTCGGCAGCTTGCTAGCTGGTGCAGCATGGAAAGGACGATCCGTCTGCTAATAACTCGGCATGAGAGTGCAATGACCACCAGAAAACACAGCAAAAGTTCCCGCACGAATCTCGTCACATCAATCAGTACATCGAAGATGCGAACTGTCCATTCGCTCATCGGCGTGTAAGATGCGGGAATATTTGGGAAATAACGCCAAAGGACGTAGTATTCTGCCTCTTTTCGAGCGTTTGCTATACGGATGAAAAAAGCAGTCGCAGAGCTGCAACAAAATTGCCCAGACGGTGTTGCTCCTCCCGATAAATCCTGGCTGTGGCTCTTTATCCTCCTTCGGCTTGACGCGCTGGCGAACTTGGATTCCTTACCCAGATTTAGTTGCTGGCATTTCCCATCGGTCTGTGACTGCAACTGCAAGTAAAGCTCTCTGTACTCATCCGTTAGTACAGCAAGAAGCGATTCTCAACGTGGAAGTTTCGGTCGTAAAGCGTACCTACACTCGCTTCTTGTGAGAGCAATTTAACTGGTTTTCAACAGGATAGCCCGTTTTGAAACCATAGGAAAAAGCCACTATTTTGTCGCATATAAGAAGTATATCCGCCGTATTCCAGTGTCCGCATACTCCCAAGTTCTAGCATTACTGGGAACAGTCGCTAGCTTACAGACTGGGTACTTATCGATTTTGACACAACCAGGTGACAGGGGAAATGTCTGACACGCAGCGTAGCGCCGCCAACACAGTGGGTTGCTGCTGGCTGTCGAGTGGACAGGTGAACAAATAATTATCGCATTGCATATTGCATATGGGCCGTTCTCAGCCTGAGTTCGTGTACCTGTCGGGCATTGTCGGGTTTTTGCAGGCTACGATTACTACTAATAGCCGGCTAGTTCATCCTCACATTGTTCAGTTTTTGGGAATAGCCCCCAAATGGGGCTGATTGTTTATTGTTTATTGAACGGCAGGCAGGTAACCCATCAAAAGCTAGGATCGAAATCTAGCATGGGAATTTAAACCTGACTTAATAACAGGCATCGTGATGAAATTAGAGCAACAGCCATTAAAGCAAAGAGAAGTATTAAGAAAAGTAAGGCAATCAAGTTATGGTAACATGTTTCAGTGCATTACGAAAAACAGCAAGCGAACTGCTACTAAGAATGTCGTTTCCGGCCTCGGTTAGCTGGCTCATAACGTTGTTCAGCCTCCATGCCAACGTGGACTTCCCGTCCTTGTCCTACCCTGTCCTTCGATGAAGGTCCTATTACCGCTTCGAAGACTGTACGGTTTGGCATGCTACTTTACGACGATCATTTCGCTGAGGTAGTGCGGCACTTGGAACTTCTCCGGGTGCAGAATTTTGTACAACCATGTTGCTTCCTGGTGTTTCCATCGCTTAAACAGTGGCGTTATCTCGTATTGCTTCATCAGGTCGGTGGTGGACACTTCGGCATAGTTGGCAATTGCTCGAATGGCTTTTCTTTGCGCGACAGCCAGCGGCTCCAGCGTGGACACAGGCGCACCGCTCCACACAGTGGAGCAACGGTCCAGATGAGTCTGACAAATGCGTGATAAAGTCCAACGCGTTGGGGCACCGGCAGCCCGCTCTTCACACTGTTTATGAGGGCGACTCCATGGTAAGCACTTTTTTGGACCTTTTTAATTTGATCAGTCCATTTCAAATGCTCATCAATTATCACCCCCAAATGTCTGACTGACTTTTCTGGTTCAAGCTTATGCCCATTCAAATCAACTGAAACGACACTTTTATCCCGACTGTACGCAGATGCTATCATAAGCAATTTTGACTTTTTTTCGTTAACAACCAAGCGATTCAAACGAAACCACTCACAAATTAATGAAAGCGCTGCAGTTATTTTGTTTGCTGCTTCAGACTTTGTGTTTGCTATCGCATAGCAGATCGTGTCATCAGCAAAACTTTCTAACTGCACATCTGGGCAATGCAAATCGATTTTCAGCAGCTCGTTTAAATAAATAATAAAAAGTAAAGGACCAAGAATTGAACCCTGGGGTACACCTGTAAACACGCGTTCCCATTCTGACCACCGCTCACCGATACGCACACGCTGCATTCTGCCAGTAAGATACGAATGAATCCACATAAGTGCGTCTTTGTTGAACCCCAAATCTCGCAACTTCTTTAACAACACATCATGACACACTGAAGGAAAAGCACTTTTTAAATCAAGAAAGACGCAAGCAACTGCTTTTTTGTTGTCCACAGCCTTTTTCCATGTTTCCGTTACTTTTAAAAGCAGCGTTTCACACGATTGACCGTTACGGAAACCAGACTGATTTGGAGACAAGATGCCACAACGTTTTAAAAATCTGGCGATTTGGGACCGAGCGACTTTTTCAAACACTTTAGACAAATTACATAATAAGGATGATACTCGTATATATCGGGTAGACTGGTATTACAGGTCATTCAAGAACACGATTTAGCAGACAATGTCATTATTTACATATGAAAGCAGAAAATTAAGCATACTGATATAACAACATTATAACTCCATTTTGAAGCCATTCAAACGATAAATTTGCGTATTCGCATTTTGAATTTCTCAGCAGAATATCATACTCAGAAATCGGAAGAAATACATCATTTGTTAATGTTATCGACAGTTAGCAGCTGATTTATTATGAAATTCGGTAGCTTACCACGAAGCTTCCAGCCAGGTTTAAAATGCTATAGAATGTAAAATGGCTGCCCGTTGGCTGGCACCCTAACCGGAAATGGTCTATCTGTTCTGATGCAAACTGACTTTTTTTCAGTACGATACACGGACACCTATGACCAGAACGGTCAAAATTTGGCTACTGGACAGACATTTTGGTGCTCAATTTATTGCTTACTAATTTCCAGTGTACGGTTATTTGGAATTTCCAAAATTCGGCAACAGGAAGTATGGCTTATTTAAACGGCACGTTCTCGTCACGTTCGTGGCTTATTGAGGTACTTAGAGCCAGAGATGGGTATCGGATCACAGTATCCGATCCGAAATTCGGATCGGACGCCTCCCTATGTACACTATAATCAAGCCGTGCATGGCTTAACAGTGTGTTTAAGATCGGAAGCCTAAAGCTTTCCAACCGGCTGTCAATCCACACGCCGTACCAGCATTATCGTCTTATGCAAAAAAAAACAGTCGACGCGTGCGCTGTTGAAAGATTGCAGGAAATGATATGGAATCTGAATCTGGACTGTTCCGCACATCGTAAATTTCTTATCTTATCAGATTAACAGACTCTGCGCAAGTTTTGCGGAGAAAACAGGCTTGAAATGTATTACGTAATTTAAAGACTTTCAAAATCAATCAAAATCAAATTGTGTGCAGTAATCGATAGCGAAGTTTGATCAATAGCGAATTTTTATATCTGCCGATGTAATTTTCGAGGTGATAGCATCTAATCAGCGAAACTGGCGAACTTATACTGCCCACGCTACAGTGGACTAATTCACAACCTGACGGTAATAACCGTAATTGTAGTGTGTTCATATTTTGGGCATAAAAAGGTATTTAAATCCTGCTGTGCCTATATATCTGTATACCGAAAATATTAGACAGTGTTACTCTTTCCGAGGTTATTTGTACAACGACAGTATCAACCCGTAGTGGTGTTCTCAAGCAAATTCAACCATCGGTATCCTAAAACCATTGCGCCGATCAGCGCAGCGGCCCGGTGGCCAGTCCGTCGGGTGAAAGAACCGCTGTTCACTCTTGGACATCAGCGTTAAAAAGAGGGAAGGTCAGGGAAAAATTTGTTGTACTTGTGGGGACGCTCACTGGTTCTGCGAGTTCCGGACAGGTTAAAGCATAACTGAAAGTCTGGAATCAAGCCGATATTTCAGCTTAGCTCTCGATTGTACAGTATATCCTCGGAGAAGTGGTGCTGCGTGTTGTCTTTTGCGGAATCTGCCTTGAATCTACCAAGTACGTGAGCCATGGGATCATTGTTGATGGGAAGTTTCCATTTTATTCGTAAAGTATTCGCCAAAGTAATTCACATATCCAACTAATTTAAGTAATGTGATAAAAACGCAAAGCAGTGGTATTTCCATGTGCATAGTAATAATGTTATCTTATCGCTAAGGTATGCTTCTCAGCGCAATGCTTTGCTGTAATTACTGTATAAAAACGTGGAAAGTTCTGACTCATTTTTAACCATGATTCTTTTACCATTTCAATAAAGCTGAGTTCCAATGTCTTCAAACACTTGCGTTTGTCTGACGTACAGTAAGTCTTGAGAAGCCTGAAACTGAAATGGATTCCAAAAGATCCAAGAGAGAAGAAAAATCCATAGTGGAAACAACTGGCTGTAGTTGCCGGTACAGTTACTCATCTACTAGTGAGTAGTGACTTCATCGGAAGCGGAGCATTTGGTGTGGTTTACGAAGCCACAATTACGGAACGCGGAGACTACGTATATCGGAGACGATATTGTGGCTGTCAAAGTTATTCATCTCGATGCCAAGCCCAAAATTGCTGCACATTCAGCAAAATGGGCCAAAACGTTGACCAGATTGCGGCAGCTTCCGAATTTAAAACACAAAAACCTTGTGCCGTGCCACCAAATCTGCATCACAAAATCGCCTGGCGGAAGGACAGTGCAAATTATGATGGAGCGATGCAGCAGTAGGTTGTCGTGCAAATTAAATTGGTTATGCAAGCTGAAGCGCCTATGTGGTAATCTTTTTAGGTGACCTAAAATCTTTCTTGGACGAAGCGAAGAGAACTCCTCGCCTCTTCTGGGGACACGGAAGCGTGGAGCGTTGCTGCAAAGACATAATAAAAGGACTAGCCTTCCTACACAGCGAGAACTTGATACACGGTGATTTAAAACCCGGAAACATCCTGGTGAAATGCCTCGCTGATGGTAGCAAGAGGATGTTGATCGCCGACCTGGACGATTTAGTCCGCATGCAGGAAAGCGTCACTCGCTCCGGCGACATAACCAAACTCCGAGGAACGACCCGCTACATGTCACCGGAAATGCTGAGACGATTCTTTCGTTCCACCGCTGAAATTCCTGGACGGAAAACCGATATCTGGAGTCTTGGTTGTATCATACTGGAGATTTCGAAATGCTGGTTAGGTATAACGGGTAAGGAACTGCTACTGGAAAAAGATGGAGATTTAGTCAGTCTGGAAAGCAGCCCTTCTGACAATCGATTTGCCACATTAATCATGGATGGTTACGTGCCTTTTGTCAGTGATAAAATACCGTGGGATTTAGCGGCCTGCGTCCGATGGTGCTTAAAGCAAAACCCGGAAAGCAGAATATCGGCTGAGGGTCTCCTGCATCTGCCAGAGATTGACTTCCCAGCTCGTGACGTCCCTGTAACTGGCACCAGCACTAGGTATAAAATTATTGCCTTAGTCGTTATTATCTGGCTTATCTTGTATCCGCAGCTGCGCGTTGCTGTGTGCCCGCCATTTTTATCGTGGCCGCCCCTTCGCTCCCCTGCATCCAAGCCATAACAGATGCAACTGCAGCCGCAATTGTCAATAAAATACTGTACATACTTCGACCGTTTTATTATTTTGCGTAATTCAGTATACGTGTAATGAACAACTACTGCAATTTCACTGGCAAAAGGAACGCAGTATTTTGCAGATTTCGCACAGCCGGCTGCTGCAGAGGTAATTAATTATATACCCATAATCAGCGTTATCGTGTGATTCGTATCGACAAACTGGCAGCTCAATGATGCACTCGCCGAACGGCCGAACAAATTGTCGACTGCGCATAAGATATGCTCCGTACCCTCAACTAAACGTATAAACTTATTCTTGTATCTAAATTCCACTAAATCGCTTTCGCGCACTTCCGAACATTTCTTCCAAATTTTTAATATTCAGTTTGTAGGCAAAGATTTGCATGAGCATTGGCGCGAAAACCGTTTGTGTCGTTTCGAGCAACCAAAGTTTTGATGAAATAAGACAAATTAAAATATAAAAAAGTTCAAGCAGCACTGTGCTGCGTTCCGAAGTCTGGTTATTACTCGCTCATTACTGAACGTTGCGATAAAAAGCACGCCGTAACTTTATAATTTGAAGAAAACATAACCATATAAACAGCAGTTCTCTTGAAATCTCACAAGGAGCTCAGAATTTTTAGATACGTGAAAAAACCCAGAAAACTAGATTTTAGTGCAGATTCTGTACCAGGCACTCAGTTAAAGGTTCTGGAAGAAGGAATGATAAACCGGCACTTTTTTTAGCACTTCAACATCATCCAAAATACCCTCTAGTGTTAATCGGTATCTTTTCTCATCGTATTTCAGTGGAATTTGGAGGGCTCCAGTCCACACTTTGATGAACAATGTTCTATAACCCCGGTAGCCGCGTAATTCATTCTCGCGAGCCTACAGTGCTTGGCGACCATCTCCATCAGCATTCTCTTTGCTTCGCTTAGCCACTAGATTAATCAACAGCTTTTCCATGATATCTTTGCCTGGCATCGCAGCGTTGACTTTCCGGATGCAGCGAGCTTTTGCCGCCGCGAAAAACAGTCACGGTCTTCCTTCACCATGCCGGCTATCGTCATTGCTGAGCCCTTTAAATTGCGTAGAATAGCGTTCCATATTGGCAGTTTCACTGTCCTTCTCTTCCGGCAAACGGCACACCCGGTAATCACTATAACGCGCCTCGGCCGCGATAATCTCCACAAATACATGTAATTCAAACAGTTTTCGAACTTTAGATATCGGAAATGTGGCTCGTATCGTGTACGGAAATACCGCGAATATGTGCGCGACTAACCGTGTGGCTTCCTGTACAGCGATCGTCCAGTAACCTGACATATGTTTGGTCACAGCGGCACAGAACTGGACCCCATTTTCCACCGCTAGCCTAAACCGGAACACGTCGTTGTCGTAGCAGTACAATGTTTCTTGGTTGATTTCGACGCCTGCATTTTTCCATTGCTGTAGTTTCGCTAAGGTGTCAACCGGCAGATTTAGCGGCGACCCGGCATCGGTGAAGATGAAGACGATATTACAGATAACATCACAATGCAGGCGACTCAGTAAGGTATTCACCAACTCATACAACGCCGGCGTCATTCCAGTGCGAGATTTCAGCAGGATACAGATGCCGTGGAGCTCATTGTATCCAACCAAATATTTGCAGATGGCTTCCGCTATTTGACGGATCTCTGCTGCATTGATACCGTCGTGAACCGAGGGTGCGTTCAGCATGCGTATAAATCGGCCGGCTTTATTTACATGGTATTTTGTGAGGGTAATCGTGTCCTCAGGCGACACCGTATCGTCGCCAGCGCTAATGCAATGAGCAGATACGACATGTTTGCGAAAATCGTGATCCAGTATCTCAAAATGCAAAGAGATGGGGATACCAGGTTTAACCAATGCTTCGTCGAAGGATGAGTACCTAAAGGACTTTGCGAACCCGCTAATCCAAATGGATTTCCCCGCATCGACTTCGTCCCCTGTTGCACAATAATCAGGCGATCACTGAATTATCAGCTTCAAGAACACAGGATTAAAGAGTAAGATTCCATAATGCGGAATGCGGCTAGTCCTTCCGCGGCCAGAAACAAATAAAATCAACAAATAATGTGCATCGACAACAGGCACAGAGAACTCTGGATGCGAACGCGCTTTTTTTTACGCAGTATTCGTTACTTTTTTAGTCCTACAATGTCCGAATATTATGTCCATACCTGATTGCAGAAAACAACCAGACTCTGCGTTATGCACGCATTATACTATAGCGCTTACCGAGAATAAGCATGTTGACTTCTATAAAAGATTGCAACTCTGCATCATCCTCAATCGGGTGTATTTCTTCGGCAGGCGTCAACAGCTGCAACCCTTTCGACTCCGTAGGAAGCGGTAAATCTGTTAGTGTCCACGGAAAATCGCCATGTTGTATTGTAGCGTCGAAACAAATTGACGTTCCAATGGAGATGCTATGGCGTGGTGATATCAAAAATTCACTTCTGCTGGCTGCTGATGTTTTATGTTGTCAATCAACTTTACGAATATTACCAAAACATTTGGTCACGATTAGTCAGTTTCATGCAGTTAGAACAACAATTTCCCTTAGACAACGTCAACAAAATAAAAATAATATATTATATCAATTATTCCATCGGTTTATTATAAATTTACTATAGGTACATTAACGTACCTCATGCAAATCTTGAAAATAATAGCTGCTGCAAATTAATAATACCACGATCAACAATGCGCGGGGTTGCACGGTTGTGATTCTTGTACAGAGTAGACTGTAGGGTGAAAAACCTGCATGCAACGGAGATGTCCCACATGTGCAACGGGCCACTGCATCCTGCTACCGTTGCAGTGTTTATAATACTTCTACAACGTGATAACTCACCAACCGGTTTATGTACTTCAGTGTACTTCAGCATTCCTCTACAAGTAGGCTTCTACAGGTGTTCTAAATGATATTATGGATTATGGAACGTTTCGTATTTATCAGTCATCTGCCTTTACGTAAATAAACCGAAGATGGGTCGATTATCAGACTCGCTGCAGACATGCCTCTGTCTTATGCTGTTTTATACGGAAATAGCGGAGAGCCTGCTAATGGCTAACAGTATTTATTAATCAGAGGGAATCTCGTGGCAAAATTTGTATACAACCTAGTGTAGAGAGGGGGATTTTGCTTTGGGAAAAAAGACAAATTTTAAAAATAATTATTTATATGCTTTTATACTTTATAGCATTTAGAACTTAAACTACACTGCAATTTGCGCATATTTCTTGCTAAACCTTCTTCCTTTATTATTAATTTTCAAGACAACGAACGTTTTGGGGGTTAGTAGTTTTTATATGAGTTTTAGTGTGCTTTTGGGGTACGTAATTAAAAACATCACGCCATTTGTAATATTATTACAAGAAGTTTCACTTCGCGTTACTCATATCTTAGTGTGTGTCAGTGTGGCAGCTTGATCTACTTCTTGGTATATACTGTAAAGTGTAATCCATACTATTCATAGATGAAATATAGTGTAACAGACAAACCGCTATTTTTCAAAGCACTATATTTTATCTATAGTTTTTCTTGCTGAAATTCTTTGTTTTCCTATTGAACCGCGTATATGTAAGACGATGAATCTGTAGTACGATGAATAAAACAAACTGCTACCTTTAATCGTTGTTAGTAAAATTTTGCAGTTTTTGTGTTAGTTTTCGTATCATGCGTACCCGTACTAATTTTGCCATCCTTTGGAAATTTAGTTTCAGTATGTAAGAAAAGCCAATTATAAAGTGAAAACTCATCGGACAAATAAAAATTTTTTCAACGCACTGAAATTTGGGACGCAAAATCAGTTCTATGCGCCCCGTTTAAGGACCGCATAGCCGCCACCTTAAACATAATATTATTTACATTAGGGGTACCAAAATTTGTGCCTTAGATAAGAGGCACTGCAATAACTCAAATACTGAAAAATTTCGTACGATAGTTATCTCCATATAATATGTAAATAGTTGGCATGCACCAGCGTAATCAGTGGGGCGTAGTGCGCCGTGGTATGGTTGTCGGCGAAACTCAAGAATTTAAATTTTTCGCAGTGCCTTCGTATCCTCAATTAGCCTTGTCACTGCCGCCAGACAAATGCCGCTATTGCAGCGCATTGCACTTAATCGATCCTTTTGCGGTCTGGTAAGCGTACTACACAGTATCCAAGTTTCCCGCCCACTACATGCGTTGCTGTGGCATGCCTAACTTTCATTCCGATCGAAAGCGGCGCCGGGACTGCAAAGCGCAGACCCACACATTCTCCATCACCATGGACCTAAAGCAACGTACTGCGTCAGCTTTCCCAAGAAACGATTTTGCAAACGTGCTTTTTTGGTCATTAATTGTTGTTGCGCTATCTGCCTCTGTGGAAAACTGGACGCTGTCATTGCGAGTGAAGAAGTTGTGATTAGTCATTACTCGTAATGAGAGTGTCACCAAGTTGTTCCACTTGTAATGAGCGTACGCTGGTAAATTTAAATAAGATCAGCAGCCTTTTGATGCACATCAACCATACGATGGACAAAGATGTCCCATGTTGTTGGAGCAGCAAAATTCAACACTGATATCATCGTTGATTGAACGTCATTCGCCAACGATTGCGATCATTTCAAATTTACCAATCAATTTGAGACGGTGGTAATCGTTGGCGATTGCGAGCGCCGCCGCAGCAGCGTTGGCGCTAGCAACACGCATGAAAGGAAAGAATAAATAATTGTGCCTCAAGCCCAGACCCGACAGGAAAATCAGTGACCAGACCAGGTAAAAAGTATTGTATATGACTTTAAAAATAATTGCTTTTTTTATTGGCAACAAATAATGGCTGCTTTTTATTTACCTGTCTATGGTTTTCTATCTGCATGCACCAATCAATCGGGTAAAAAACGCGCTAAACGAAGTCGCCGGCTAGTTTACTAACGGACATTATGCCCGTTTAATGGTTGATTGGGTTTTTTTGAAAAATAGTTTGCAAAAATAGGCGAAAGTGTCTTGAACCCAAAACCCCGATTTCGGAAATTTAAAAATATACAATTGCAGTTCCCGATACTTTCAATCGGCATCAATCAGGATTATACATAATAATACGCCAGCGCAAATTTGCACTAATCAAAATGTTCAAGTATCAAAATGGAAATGTAAGCCCTAAAGCAAAGTAAATTACCGAACGCTTTGCTCGTTTGGATACAAATACTTTTTCACGACCATAATTAGCGTTGTTTCTAATCAGGGTCTCTGAATTTCCAAGAATAAGTTTGTTTTTGCTTTCTGTATCTAATGAAGATGAAATTGTTACAGATAGACCCTGTAAGAAGTTCACGGTAAAACATGAGCTTCATGAGCATCATGAGAAAAAGGCAAATACAGGGTAGAGGAGACGACCATTCTTTAGAACCTGATCCGGTTCAATAGTGTATAGAAACATGTGTCGATATGTACTGTATACTTTTTTTTACGTCTAATTCTCCAAGAGTCAAAAGCATGCAAGTCAGTTCAATGGAATGTTTTCTAACGCTGCTGTCTGGTTGATGAAAGAGCAAATCCAGGAAATCCATTTCAGTGTTTAAAACTGAGTTGGATGCTTTCATCGATCGGGTGCCACTTATATTCTGTGGGCGTTCTTGTCAGATTGCATTGCTTATCAGACAGAAGAATTCAGGAGCGGAATGACTTGGCAGGCTAGCCGCATTCCATCCATTTTTCCTGATCGATAATGTACAGTAATTGACTGGAATGATGTCATGCTCTGTATAACGCAAAAAACAGTATTCCCGTTCATGTGAGAAAATACAACTGCAGTTATATAATTTTGCTCAGAATTTAAAAACAAATTAGATACTGTATGTAGTTCACTGGCCCGTCGAGTAATTGCTGTGGTAAATTACCGATACGTATCCGGATGTGTTATTTACCCGGCTGTATTTTGAGACACCTCGAGACGTTCTTATTTTAGTTAAGAGGAAGAGAGAAAGAGACGGTTAACCGAGAAAGGTGCTTCAAATAGATGGCGATATGGTAATTCGCAAGAGCAACACAAGTAAAAACCATGTACAACTACTCTGTATGTCAAAATACTTTTTATCCAGCCATAAAACTAACCGCTTTTGTAGATTTCAAATCTACAGATACTTATACAGGTACGTAATATAACGTAGTTTCCTGTACACTATTGTATTAGTAACAGCAGCATGGCGGCCCATTTGCCTATCTATCTCGATATATGGACGTTAACGTACCATTCCAAAAATTCTTCCCATTATTTTTCGATACGTATTCCTAGTAACCATGCGTGTTCTGCCTGTATTCCGCCTTATCCGTTCCGTATCTATTAGTGTCTCACTGCGGCGGTACTGTGTTCCGCGTACTCCACCAGCATTCTTGCGCGTGCCGGTATTCCACCGGTATTGAATAAAAAAAACATAGGAAAACATACGAACACATGGAAGAATACAGGCACAAAACGCAATAATGCCGGTGGAATACGCGAAACATAGGGTCGCTGCAGGAGGCATCTAAAGGATACGGGGAGAGTAAGGCATACAAGCCAAACACACAAGAATACCGCTGAAATAGGCGGGAATACTAATAATTCCGGTATATAAAAAAACATCTGGTGCAGGTGCGGTCCGGTGGAGTCATCTGGAATTTTACAACTATCTACACGCGTGTGCGCACGGCAATACTGAACAGGCGATTGGTATGCTGAAGGGACGCTTTCAAAGTCTACAAGGAATAAGAACTTTAATGACAAAAAAGCTGGACCACACCGGAGCGGTATTGTTCTACACAATTTGTTGCTGGAAGACTACTATGACGCGCTGTGGAAAGAAGAAGTCGATGACAGTGATGAAGAAGAAAAGGCAGATGTGGTCGAAATCAACGTCGATATGGACGACACACAAGCTGGAAAAGAGAAGCGCGATTTTATCGAAAATTATGTTTTACCAGCTCGGTCGTTAAATAATTAAAAGAATGGGATACTGTAGCCGCGCGATGACATTGCATCACTTTTAGATCCGGGCGCTGCCTGCCCCGATCGGACAGCGTACACGTTACGTAGAACGCGCTGCAGCGTGTGTGACAATTTCCGTATACCAGACTCTGTGGTGCAGACTCATCGCGCGGCTACGGTACGTAGCGAAAAATGATAAGTCGAATTTTTGGAGCGGCATGAAACGAGCCGTACGTAGATGTATGCCTGTGGATTTGCGCTGTGATACTCGTACATGTAAGAATACAGTACTTCTATCTGCACAGACAGCTCCCAAGTCCCATTACTACTTCGACAGATGCCTTATCTGGGCTCCCTTTAGAGTACAGGCTCGTATCCGGGCTCCCCCCAAGTAAAAACAGTTGCAAAATTGCAAGTATTAATGCAACCGCGCATGAGGACGGTTGCCCATGCTGTCAATACTGCCGGAAGTGTGCGCAACCGATCTTTTGCGCGGTTACATTATTACCTGCAGTTTCGTAGCCGTTATAACTAGAGGGGAGCCCAGATATGCGACTGATTTCCTAATTCGTTAGAACGAAACAGATCGGGTTTTTTGTGGGAATGGAAGACCTTAAGGCAGACGCATAGTAATCTATAAACAAGATTTCATCAAGATTAGACACCGACTACCGCTCACGGCCGAACGGCGAGCGCCCGAAAAAGGTCATCCAACATTTTGGAG